GCCAGTGACGTGAAATCTCCGGGGAGCTGGGTGCGTCCTGAGCAGTTGCTAAGGGTCAGCTCGCGGAGACACGGCAAAATCTCTCCCAGGTCATCCGGAAGTTGGTCAAGGAAGTAGGAACCCTTAATCACCAGCCGCTCCAGCCTGGTGCACGGCAATCCCGAGGGAAGAAACCAGATAAAAGGCGAAACCTCTCCCTCAAGCTGCAGCGATTTCAGAAACGGCAGCTGTGAGACGGAAAACGTTCCCGGTGGTGCTTCAAACTCGGGGTCGTCGCTGATGGCCAGGCTTGTAAGGCTCGGCAGGTGGACGAGATTCAAGAGGTGGTGGAAAACCAGCTTCGAAGAGGTTATGCGGATCGAGCTGAGAGATGTAAGGCTCGAAAACCCAGGAGCGGTCAGCGCTGACGCGTCCGGGAGAACGAGAGTGCGGAGCCGCGAGAGCTGGAAGAGCGAAGCCGGGAAGACGACTTTCGGGTGGAGAGCGGATCCAAGGCGGTCAAGTGAAAGAACCTCCAGCTGCGTGCATCCCTGAAAAAGTCGATCCAAGCCGGTTTTGGTAATCGGGTGTAAGCGCCTACTCTCCTCGACGTCCACATCTTTAGTGATCCTGCTTCCAACGTGGAGAACCGTCAGCTTCGTGCATGTCGAGACGAGGTGCGAGAGGAAGGCGTCGTCTATTGTTTCCACGCTTCCGTCGCACAGATGCAGGTGAGTCAGGTTCGGGAAGCAAGAGACGGCACTGGCGAGGTCTTGGCGGGAAACGGCAAGATCTTTCCTGACGAGAAGCGTCGAGACGTAACGCTGGGAGAGACGGCGCCAGCGACGGCAGACAGAAGCGATGAGGAGACTAAGAGCTGCGTCGGTGAAGGCGGGAGGAGTTGGTAAAAAAGAGTTTTTCTTGCTACTGCTTGAGCCCTTGGGTGGAATCTTTGTCCAGAAGAATTTCTGCCTCGGACATAAAGAGTCGCATGTAGCATTGTCGCATGGAGCATTGTCGCACGTGGCATCGTCTCGCGTAGCATTGCCGCATAAAGCATCCTTGCATGTCGCGTCGTTGCATGTAGCATCAGTGTCGTAAACAGTAGACAGCGGAGTTTTGGAGGTATGCCATAGGATCCTAATAAGGAGGTCGTCAGACAGTCTGTTAATGTGCGCACGGGAATCCATGGTTAAAAAACTTGACTCAAATCGACACGGATTTCAGCAGGAACAAGAAGCTAAACACAGTAAATACTCATCTTACAGAACCTACTGGTATCTAAACTGGTAGCTGGGGTAGCTGGGGACCGACTGATGTCCATCCATCAGTGAAGCTCACCTCGCCAAGGAGGATGTCCATCCAGCGAGAGAATTACCGCGGCACGGGGTTGGGCATCTGGAATTTTTCTTATCGCGTGCCAATTTTGTTATACCCCATTGCGACGCGAATCCACCTTTTGTCCCGCGCTTCCCGCGGTGCCGTCATTTCGTATTGAAAAACGAAGTGTAGCTATCAGTGTACGGTCACTTCGAAAATGTTTGCCAGGATTACACATGGTCGCCTCCAATATTGTTGGAACCAGACCACAAATTTCGAGGGAGTCCAAACCTACGTGGATAGGTTTGGCTCGATCCCCCCAACTTCCCAGCCATGAGCATGTGTTCGTTTTGACATGTGTTCGCCAGCTGGTTCACCCTGGATGCCCCATGAATCGCTGACGCGGATTGATAAAAAAACCGTTCGAAACACTATACACGTCAGACTTGAGCATCATCCAAGCCACTTCAGACACTGCCAATCGAACCACTCGAGGTTAAAAATCAAGGAGTTTCGATATACGCTGAGCATAATACCAGAAAATATTAATGAATAATACACATAGAACCGTTAATATAACTGGCCTTGCATAAACAGTTGAAGTATCTGTCAAAAGCAAGTTTCTTCATAGTTCCAATACATGATTTGTAGTTTGATTAATGTACTCATAATGTCAAATATGAAACAACGTATATTGAAAACTATCAACATTCATGGTATAAGATTATCAAATGTTTAGGTTATGCAATGAAATTATATATGTCACTAGTGTTGAAAATAGGTAACTGTATAATGTCCCATTATGCATAAGGACATCAGGAGTATGTGCTACAAATACATATTATATGTATAACATAACCATGTATAAATTATTAGGACATTAGGAGTATGTGCTACAAATATATATTATATGTATAACATAACCAAGTATGAATTATTAAGATTGCAAAGTAGACACTGATAGGTTTACACATGACAATAAAAGTGGGAAGTTATGACTTGATTGAATATTTGATATACAAGATGAACAATTATCAAGCATAGCAATGAACCATTACTGATTATAAAGATTGAAAAAAGATGGGTAATCTTAAGGTGTATCAATAGACATACCTACGTCAATAGGGTATGGCAGAACTACGTAATGCATGCACAAGTACACCATACATAAAGGATTGAGATAGCAAGATTGACAAACAAAAGTTTGAATATAAATTCACGGGGTGTAAATTCAAACAATTGCTCTACCATTTCCAATTTCTCAGAGTGATGATCGGTCTTCGATTGTACCAATAGAATGAATGGATGAGAAGACTCAAAGTTTTTCGAAATGGGAAATAACCTATTAAACACAATGTGAATATCTGAAACAATAAACAACTGAATTTTCATTCTATATCATATTGTGTACTTTGTCCTCCTAAACCCTGGAGTAATGCAAAAGATTGCAAAGAGTGACCAGCGTTATCTCAGGTGATTTACAGGGAGCATTGAGTGTTTTATTTTGGGCCTTGTTTATTATTTTGTTTATTATATATAGTTACCATCTACTGATAGTTTTTGTTGTGAAACTATCGCTGTGTATAGTATCGAGCAGGTAAAGATTGTTTCTTCACACTTCAGCAATGCCGTTGAACATGTTCATTTCTATAGTATGACGCGGCGCAAACTCATTGGCTGGTTAATTCTCAAATGTCAGTTTGAACTTTCGAGCAGATAGTGACGAGGCAGTCTGTGATTGCTTGATCGGGTCAAGTGCGATCACAGTGTGATCTGTTTTGAGCACTACAGTTTAGCAACCTCAAATCCAATCGTCTCGCGACACGCGTTGACTGAAATGAGACACATAGAACGATTCATCTCGCGACAGTCTGATACAGTGAACCGAAGCAGACTGTCGAACCTGTTCGCGCTCGAACCTCGCCGAACCAGCATTCCACACTTTCGGGAACGCAATGACCAATCGGTGAACCCTGCGTGGCAGGGGGGTTCCACATCGAACCCTAAACTGCCCACTGACAAAATGACGACCCGCAAAAACAACCATATAAGTGTTAATATAGATCACATTAACGCGAGCGCGGAAAACTGGTTATGAAAGGTGGATGGACCGCGAAAGCGGTTTTATAAAAATTGCAGCGCGATATAAAAAATTACCGAGCCCAAAGCCCGTGCCGCGGTAGTTCTCTCCCATCCAGCTATCAGGACGATGTTCGCCCAGAAAACGCTGACACCTCTAGCTCATGGTGAAATCGTGGCGCGCTTCGGTCAAGTAGCCGTTGGTGAGCTTCACGAAGGCGGGAAATGCTGAACTTCCTCCCCTGCTCTCGCGTCGCATTGTTGAGTCAGAATGACTGCGCAGGTTTGACATCGCGCGTGCCTCACACATGCAATTTGTATGCCTAGATAAATGGAGCAGCGTAAATGATGGTACTGTATACTCGCTGCAATATGATGGGTTTGTTAGAATTGCGGCCAGACATGAATATGTGGTCAAATCATGTCATTTGGGCAACAAGTGATCAGCATAACATGCTGCTTGAGCCAAGAGGAACGCTGCCAACATAGCCAGCCATTTTCCATGTTCTGATGCAATGTAACAGCTTCTTGAATCAAGTGCACTTTTTGAACCGATTCGAAACAAATAACATGTCGATTTATCGAGACTATGCCAACCCAAAACATGTTACAACGGCGCCACGATCTGGTGCTCCAATGGCAGCAGCGAGCCAGCTGGCAGAGGCCCTGGTCGAGTGACGTAGTCTGTTGGATCCATCAGCTTGACGCCATCTGAACCGTTCAATACCCACTTGGGCTTTTCCTGGAAGACGGGTTAAGGGGAGTAGTGGAGTGTCAAATGTTTATATGTTATAGATGTTAGTTATCTAGGCTACAGTGAGTTGCCCTCTAAAGGGTACAACATTCTCTAGGTCGACTTGTATCCCATCCTTCCTACTCACTCACACAATTCTCTCGACACTTGTTCCTAGCCTAACTTAAGATGGAGACCCAACAGGTAGGAGGATCATGCAAACAGCAGCAGGCTAGACTCAACGAGCCATATAAGAACATCTGGTTGTGGAGGAAGTAAATATCAGAGTTTTTTTTTCGTGGGAGGGGTGGGTGGAGGGTTCATCTTACGGCGACTCTTGTCTGTGGCTATGTGAGTGACTGAAACCGTTTTGCCCCACCTTGAGTGCGTGCACTCACATAGCCACAGACATTGTCAAACCCACCCACACACCTCACCCACCCACACACCACATTCACAGTCACCCACACAATCACACTCACACTCACCTCCACATATTTCCAGTGAGGCTGTAAATACCTTTTTGAGCCTATCTAGCTCTAGCATATGTCTGCATTAAATGCCACTGCCCTTGATGCTCCCCCCCCTACCCTGCTCCTACTGAATACGCTCTCCCATACACCGACCCACAAATGCACCTTCTTGACTTGCCTATCACGCTGTAGAGAGACTATAAGCAGGAACCCCGTCCAACCTTTGAGAATTTTCAAATGTGATTTCCCCATCCAACGTCACTCATACAAACACAAACACACACACTCACACTCACCTTCCACGTCTTGCCAATCAGGTTGTAGAGACTGTAAGCAGGCACCCCATCTAGCTTCAGCCTTTGCCTGCCCCTATTGTATACACACTTACATACGCCCAGTCACACACTCACACTCACCTTCCACGTCTTGCCAATCAGGTTGTAGAGGCTGTAAGCAGGCACCCCATCTAGCTTCAACCTCTCCCCCGTGACTGTATTGAACGCCACTGTTCCCGATGCTCCTTCAAACCGCCCACAGCCGGCCGGCTGGTTTCGGAAGCATTCGAGCACGGCTTGTGCGGTTACCGCCCGGTTTTGGACGGCTATGATGTTCTGAAACGCCTCGAAGAAGGCCCAGATGGAGTCGATCAGATGCGCCACGTATAAGCGCGTCTCGTTATACTGTATGGTAAGCAAGAAAAAGTTGGGGTGTAGCAATAAATCATTACATTCTGAGTCAAAATTGCTCTAGTATGGGGAGATGGCTTTAGGGTTGGAAAATGAGTGAGTGCGGGGTAAGGAGGAGCTGAGGCAATGAATGAGTGGGGAAATGAAACATTTGGTGTGTGGGAGAGTGAGGGTCAGTGAATTGACGTGAGTTGGGGCTAGGATGTGAAGGGTAGTAATGCATCTTCCTTAGACAAATCACCTTATTTTGCGGTGCCCTGCACATTGACTGGAAAGTCATCTGCCCTTTCCATTCACCAGCCCCACAAAACCGTCCGTCGTCTGCCTTTGAGTCGACTAGAAAGTCGTTTCGTTACAATGGCATCTCCATTCATCTCCTCACCGTTAGCGCATCTATTTTGAAATGTCTCAAAATTCGACAGGCCATACATCTCCTCACCTTTGGCGTGATGGGTGCATTGATCAGCCCCACATAGTCGTCTGCTGCTGCTTGTTGCTTTTGAGTCAACTAGAAAGGCATCTCGTTACAATCACACACCACACATTTCCTCACGTTTGGCGTGGTCGGCGCATTGATGATCCCCACGTAGTCGTCTGCTGCCTGCTGCCTCCAGTGGGCCGTGAAGGGACGCAGGTTGGGGGTAGGAGGAGAGAGCGCTGATGCATCTCCTCTAGGCACATTTCCTCACCTTTGGCGTGGTCGGTGCATTGATCAGCCCGACATAATCGTCCGCGGCTTGCTGCTTCCAGTGGTCCGTGAACGGACGCAGGTTGGGATCCGAGTCTACTTATAGCATGCTCCTACTCTTGGCACATTTTCAAAACACGCCCTCACCTTTGGCGTGGTCGGTGCATTGACCAGCCCCACATAGTCGTCTGCTGCCTGCTGCTTTTGAGTCGACTAGAAATTCATCCTGTTACAATCACACACCACACATTTCCTCACCTTTGGCGTGGTCTGTGCATTGACCAGCCCCACATAGTCGTCTGCTGCCTGCTGCTTCCAGTGGTTCGTGAATGGATGCAGGTTGGAGTTGTATCAACCTCTTTCATGTGTGCCACACACAATACGTCTCCTCATCTTTGGCGTGGTCGGTGCATTGATGAGTCCCACATAGTCGTCTGCTGCCTGCTGCTTCCAGTGGCTCGTGAAGGGACGCAGGTTGGGATTCGAGTTATAGCATGCTCATACTCTTGGCACAATCTCAAAACACGCTCTCACCTTTGGCGTGGTGGGTGCATTGATCAGCCCCACATAGTCGTCTGCTGCTGCTTGTTGCTTTTGAGTCAACTAGAAAGGCATCTCGTTACAATCACACACCACACATTTCCTCACCTTTGGTGTGGTCGGCGCATTAATGAGCCCAACGTAATCGTCTGCGGCTTCCTGCTTCCAGTGGGCCGTGAATGAATGCAGGTTGGGGGATGACACAACTCAAATACCATCACATGCCGACAGTGATATCGCACCTTTGGTGTGGTCGGTGCATTAATGAGCCCAACGTAGTCGTCTGCTGCCTGCTGCCTCCAGTGGGCCGTGAATGGACGCAGGTTGGGACTCTCAAAGGGCACTGCGAAGGAGGGAGGGGAGGGAGAGGAGGGAGAGGATTGAAAACGAATGGAGAGTCAGAGGATAGTGCGTGCTTGTCGTTCTCTGACACACAGAACCGTGAAGAAGAGACACGCTATGTAAGGAGCCTTGAAAGACATGCCTTCACGCTCCAAAAGAAAACACTCAGGATAGTATAGTCTGAAATCCTCAGAAATATAGCAATTGGCTAATCATCTAAAGTGAAAGAAATAATCTTAGTGCATTCATTCTTAAGTGCAAAAATGATATAAAGTGCAGAATACATCTAGAGTGCAAAACTAACCTAAAGTGCAAAAACGATAGCTATCAAGCTCTCATTGAGTACAATTAGAATACTACTACGGCACGCCCTGGCTGAACTTACTGGTAGGACCAATTGCCATAATTTGAGTCGACTCAATATGAGGTGACCTTTGAGTCACTCAAAAATCAAACTCTCATTGAATACAATACAAATATAACACTACTACGACACGCCCTGCCTGAACTTACTGTTGGGACCGATCGCCATCTCCCCTTGCAGAGACCTGGCCATACCTCCGAGCCTCTCGCTAGCTGTGACGGGAAGGAGGAGGATGAAGAGAGGGAGAGAGACGTGAGTAGGAGATGGAGGGGGTCCTGGGAAAAACAAGTGAGTCATCTCCCCATCCAAAGACCTGGCCATACCTCCGAGCCTCTCCCCAGCTGTGACGGGAAGAGAGGGAGGCACGGGGAGAGAGAGGGGAGAAAGAGAGGCGACAGTGTTGCTTGCAGAGCCTGGGGTATCGTTACGAGGTGAGTAAGTGCCTGGTTTTGAGGCGCCTCAAAACTAGAGAAGGCGGCACGGGGAGAGGGAGGGAAGAAAGAGAGGTGACAGTGTTGCTTGCAGAGCCTGGGGTATCGTTACGAGGTGAGTAGGTGCCTGGTATTGAGGCGCCTCAAAACTAGAGAAGGCGGCACGGGGAGAGGGAGGGAAGAAAGAGAGGTGACAGTGTTGCTTGCAGAGCCTGGGGTATCGTTACGAGGTGAGTAGGTGCCTGTGCTGTGTTTTGAGGCGCCTCAAAACCGCGAGACATGAGACGACTTTTGAGGCGCCTCAAAAGAGAGGTGACAGTGCTGCTGCAGAGCCTGGGGTATCGTAACGAGGTAAGTAAGTGCCTGTGCTGTGTAATTAATCACATACTATGATTACAGTAGGTGAGTGAGTGAGTGAGTGAGTGAGTGAGTGAGTGAGTGAGTGAGCCCGAGCCGGAGCTCGAACTGCCCTAGGTCGTTGCCATGATTGCTAGTACTTACCATGCTACTGTGCTGTACCATTCGAGTGAGTGTGTGAGTGAGTGAGTGAGTGAGTGAAGGAATGAGTGAGTAGAGTGAGTGAGAGAGGCAGTGCTCACACTGGTCAACGAAGTCAAGAGCTGCCACGCCGTCAGTCCCCAGGTACCACCAAGGGTAGCCCTCATGTGCCTGTGCTGCTAACCCCGTACTAGGTGAGTGAGTGAGTGAGCAAGAGTGTGAGTGAGTGAGAGAGGCAGTGCTCACATTGGTCAACGAAGTCAAGAGCTGCCACGCCGTCAGTCCCCAGGTACCACCAGGGGTAGCGAGTGAAGTTCTGAGAAGGGGGTTGAGAGAAAAGGAGGAGCGTTTGAAAGAAAAGAGGGGGGGGGGGGGGTCAGAGGGATGGGTTAATGGGTCAGAGGGTCTAAGGGAATCACGAGTCAAACTGCATGTCTGTACCCCCTGCTGAATTAATACAAAGGACCATTTGAGAGAAAGGTTGAAAACGCCGTCAGTCCCCAGGTACCACCAGGGGTAGCGAGTGAAGTTGTTCTGAGGAGACAAGAGAAACAGATTGAAAAGGGAAGGAAAAGTGCAAAGCAAAGGTCATGTGAGTCAAGGGATAAAGGTATCAGCAGCACCGGGGGTAACGAGTGAAGTTGTGGGGAGACAGGGAGAGGGGAGATGGGCGAGGGGAGAAGTTTTTTACGAGGCACCTAAAAAATGTTATCAGCAGCACAAGGGGTAACGAGTGAAGCTGTGGGGAGACAGGGAGAGGGGGAGAAGGGAGAGGAGAGAAAAGAGTTGAACAACGACGAAAGCAATCGGATTAGAAGGAACCACCCGGGGTAAAAAGCTAAGGTCTGTCTGAGGAGAGGGAGGGGAGCAGTGAGAGCGCAGAGGAGTCAAGGGTGGAAGCTGCACTCCCAGCCCCTCCCTCCCCCCCCCCCCCCCTTCTACACTCCTCCCCCATAATCCCTCCTCCCTTCCACCCTTGCCTTGCCCCCAACAACCCACCGCTCGCCACCTCTCCACCAACTCACCTCCCTCTGCCGCCCGCCAGAACCCCTCTGCCACAAGTTTGGAGGTGCCTCAAAACGAACTTTGCAATAGCTGCATCACAACCCCCTCTTACTCACATCCTCCACTTCTCTCCCCTTCTCTCCCCTTCTCTCCCCTTCTCTCCCCCTTCTCTCCCCTTCTCTCCCCTTCTCTCCCCTTCTCTCCCCTTCTCTCCCCTTCTCTCCCCCTTCTCACCTCCCTCACTGCCGCTCGCCAGAACCCCTCCGCGACAGCTGGCAGGGCGGCGAGCACGCAAATGGACCGCTCCCCGACCGCCACGTCAGCAAAGAGCGGCGCAAACTCGTCCACGGGGTAGCTGACGGGGATGGTGCTGACGGGGATGAGCGAGCCGTCCAGCTCAGCACGGATCTTGGCGGCGAGATCTGAGCCGTAGATCTCGTTGGAGTAGAACAGATGGACTTCGTCGAACTGGAAGAATCTGATCAAAGCCGCGATTTCCCTTGCCTGGTGCTTGTCAGCGAAGCTGTTTATAATGGGGACAGGGGAGGACGGAGGAAGGGAATGAAGGGTTGGATGATTGGGGCAATGCACTTGTCTCAGATCTCTGAAACATAGCTGGAGCAGCTGAAGGGAAGCTGAAGACGAATATCACATTAAGAATCCACTCGCACCCACTCGCACCCACTCGCACCCACTCCCACCCACTCCCAACCATGCACACCCATTCCCGCCCACTCACACTGTTCTAAAGAACGTGTTGTAATCCGGCGTGTTGAACACGTCAGCAGTAGCAGCAACGGGCACGAAGGGAATCGCCTCGGCGTGTGGGGGGAGGAGAATCCACTCACAAGGCAACCAGAGCAACCATTCACACCCACTTGCACCCACTTCCACCCACTCACACTGTTCTGAAGAACGTGTTGTAATCAGGCGTGTTAAACACATCAGCAGTAGCAGCAAAAGACACATAGGGAATGCCTTTGGGCTGTAGCACGGAGTTGGCTCCCCTCACTGCCTCGGAGCACGCCGGCCCCACCACCCCCACCACGTTCATCAGGTCTAGACGCTGGTGGGGGAGGTGGAGGGAAGAGGGGTGTTACATAGGGTGGATGGGGAGAGGAAGGAGAGGAGCACGCCGGCCCCACCACCCCCACCACGTTCATCAGGTCTAGACGCTGGTGGGGGAGGTGGAGGGAAGAGGGGTGTTACATAGGGTGGATGGGGAGAGGAAGGAGAGGAGCACGCCGGCCCCACCACCCCCACCACGTTCATCAGGTCTAGACGCTGGTGGGGGAGGTGGAGGGAAGAGGGGTGTTACATAGGGTGGATGGGGAGAGGAAGGAGAGGAGCACGCCGGCCCCACCACCCCCACCACGTTCATCAGGTCTAGACGCTGGTGGGGGAGGTGGAGGGAAGAGGGGTGTTACATAGGGTGGATGGGGAGAGGAAGGAGAGGAGCACGCCGGCCCCACCACCCCCACCACGTTCATCAGGTTTAGACGCTGTGGGTGGGGACACAGGGGAAAGGGAAGTGGGGGGACGGGTGCATGGTGAATGGGAAGGAGAGAGATTACGGAGTTGGCTCCCCTCACTGCCTCAGAGCACGCCGGTCCCACCACCCCCACCACGTTCATCAGGTCTAGACGCTGGAAGGACAGATGAAGAGGCAAGATGTAACGGAGTGGGCAGGAGGTAAAGGGAGGGAACGAGGGAGAGCACGGAGCACGCCGGTCCCACCACCCCCACCACGTTCATCAGGTCTAGACGCTGGAAGGACAGATGAAGAGGCAAGATGTAACGGAGTGGGCAGGAGGTAAAGGGAGGGAACGAGGGAGAGCACGGAGCACGCCGGTCCCACCACCCCCACCACGTTCATCAGGTCTAGACGCTGGGAGAACAGGAGAAGGGCGGGAGAAGGGCAGGTGGGAACAGGAAATGGGCAGGCGGGAACGGGAGAAGGGAGCAGAGCAGTGAAGCAGTAGGTGGTAGTGCAGCAAACGACACGTAAGGAATGCCCTTGGGCTGTATGTAGCACGGAGTCGGCTCCCCTCACTGCCTCTGAGCACGCCGGTCCCACCACCCCCACCACGTTCATTAAGTCTAGACGCTGGGAGAACAGGAGAAGGGCGGGAGGGGACGGTAGGGCAGGAGGGAAAGGGAAAGCATGGGGGAACGGGGGGGCATGAGGGAATGGGAGAGGGGAGCAGCCGAGCAGTGGAGGGAGGGCTAAGCCAGCAAATGACACAAAGGGAATCCCCTTGGGCTGCAGCACGGAGCTGGCACAGGAAGTAGAAGGGGTGGGGAGAGGAGGAGGAGGGGAGGGGTTGGGGTGGGTGGGTTGCATGGAAAGGGAGCAGTGGAGTAGTAGGGGGAGGGTGAAGGCAACAAACGACACGAAGGAATGCCCTTGTGCTGCAGCACAGCACGGCCTTTCTTCGCTGAGAAAGAACACGAGGGATGTTCCTTTTTTCCTGAAAGAACACCCCTCCCCTCACCCCACCTTCCTCCTTCCCCCACCCCCTCCCCCCCCCCCCCCCCTCCTCCTCCCCCTCCTTTTTCCTTCTTCACCTCCGTCGCTCTCACCTCTGCTGCCACTGCCGCATCCTCGCTATTGCACGGTACCACCTCCACCACCGGCATGACGTTGAAGGTTGCGTTATAACGGGGCCCGAGCACGTCCAGCGCCACTCTTGTAGCGGACATCCTAACAGCGCGTACAAAACAGAGGGAATAGGAGGAAACGAGGGATAGTAAGTGGAGTGGAGGCGGCGGGAGAGTCAGAGTGGGTGAGTGGAGTGTGCGAGAGTGAGAGGAGGGTGAGAGCGTGTGATGGGTTGAGAGAGTGAGAGGAGGATCGGTGAGAGGAGGTTGCGTGAGAAGAGTGTGAGAATGAGGAGTGTGACAGTAACGAACCTAACTCACCATTCGTCCGCCAGCCGTTTCGTGATGCCGATGTTGACTTCGGGACTCGGGAGAATAAAGCCGAGCCGCAGATACTGCACCGGCAGCGCGTCGCACGGTCGGCAGCAGATGCTGCTAAGTAACAGCAGTCCTAAGAGCAGGCCTGCTATAGCGGGGATATTTCCCGCGTGGAGTATGGCGCGCGTCCTACTAGTTCCCATCGAAACCGTGAGGTGTTGCGTGCGTACTTGGGGTGAGCGATAGCGGGCCAACCGGGAGGCGTTCTGGTTATGGAATGTGACTGTAACGGGGGGTATCTGACTGTAACTGGGTCAACTGGGGCTGTGACTGTAACGGGACAAGTGAGAGCTCAGCAGTGATGATTGAAGCAAGTACTACTACTCCAAGGCAGGTAGCTTGTAAATAGTAGTTCACGTTCTGAGGAGCCTGAGTAACGGCTAGCCGACTCAACCGGTAGAGCTGACGAGTCGGGGGTTCCTGCGGAAATAAGGGCCGTGACTGCCCAAACGGAGGCGACCTTAGTCAATTTGAAGTTTCCACGTCGACAATAACCTTACTGCTCTCTAACTCGCTAACTTGGTGGCCTTCGGAGGGAGATACCTGTGAGGCTATTGTGATGCGGATAATAGGAACCACTAGGGAACTATGATGGATCCCACTGTAGGTGCTTGTGATGACAGCGGCACGCGATGTAGTCCACAATGGTCAACGCCACGTGTCGTCCTGTCGGCGCGTCACGGGCAAGAAGGTAATACTGTATTCATGGCATCACTTCGCTTTACACGACTGGTGAGGTGACTGCATGGCACTGAAAAGGTCTGATCTGAAGTGACAATTCGTCCGCTCACCGCGACTGGAAACTGACCACCACCCTGACTCACAGAAGTAAAACGAAAATAACGCGAAAATGAATAAATAAGGTGGGATGGTGATTATGGACGGTGCGAGGAAAGGTGTTTCACAAGGGACGGTGTTCCAATTTTTGCAAGAAAATAGAAACCAGAGAAACTCCTCTGACAACGTCGGTGGCATACGCGCCGTCGATCTCCTCCCCTGGCGCCTCCTTGAAAGATCCAAAGCATTTCCGGCTCGGCCGTACCTCACTTAGGCTGCAAGCCGCACACAAAGCCACTGTATGCCACAGGGAAACTCGAATCTGAACGAGGTCTCCGCGAGCCGCGTGTCGGCAGGCCTCCCAAATTATTGGCGGGAAGACCTCGCAGTGTTGGTGCGTGAAACTGTGCTTCACTAAACCGATAACACTATAACGATTCAATTCATAATTCAGAAGTCGTCCTTACCAGACAATAGGAATGTAATAACAAATCATTGGAAAGAAATTACTATGCCTGTGCCCCAATGATGCCAAGTCATACGGATGCAATCAAATACTTTTTCTATTGCCCTACTGCCCCGCTCCCAATTTTCCAAAGGTCAAGCTACATTACACTAGGTGGTTCCTCCTATCCCATCTTGTTTTGTATTTGCCGGTGCACGTACACCAAAAACTCCACGTAGGACATCCCTGACGGCGACCGATCCTCGACCAGCGTTTGGAAGAAGAGATTCTCTGATGTGAAAAATGGGAGGAGAGGCATCAGGAGTACACACATTAAGTGTTACACAATAAGGAAGTGTTCCTCCGGCATTGGATGGATGGTAAGGCCAGGGAGTCGATCAGTAAGAACAGACCACTGACCAGAGATGAAGGGAGGAAAGCAGCATAAGAAACAAACTTATTCATAAGACTCCAAGCCTCGTAGTGTTACAACAGAGTGCAATCTCATACCTGATGGATCACCTCTCTTAAGAAGCCGAAGCCTGCAGGTTTGATTAGAGGGCGAGAGGGGGAGATTAGTGCGCGAGCGTGGGGGAGGGGAGGGGGGTTCGGGTGGAGCTGGGAATGAGTGTGGGTGTGGGTGCGGTGTGCATATGTGGGTGGGTGAGAACATCAAAGAGGTCGGGGGGGCAAAACTGTGTGAGTCAGGGCAGAAGAGTGACAAAAACGAAACAATCCAAATGCACACCACCTCCCATTTCCCCTCCCATCTAACCTTAACATTTTTTCTATTGGCATTGATCCTCCATACAAGCCTCTCCAAACCACTTGTAAGCCTCCCATATGCTCATATACGCTTCCCATACCCGTCCCATACCCCTTATAGACTCACCTGAGGTAAGAGCACCGCTGGCGCCGAATCTCGTTCACAATGGCGTTCAGCTTGCGTGATGCGGGGTTGTCAAACTCTTGCAGCAGGAACTACGGTAGTGAGGGGTGGGGGAAGGTAAAATGGGGAAAGAATGGTGAGGTGAAAGGAGGGGAGAGAGAGAAGGAAGCTTCTCGTTCACAATGGCGTTCAGCTTGCGCGATGCGGGGTTGTCAAACTCTTGCAGTAGGAACTGCAGGGGCCGGCTGGAGGGGGGGAGAAGCGGGGGAGGGGGTTGGGGAGGTGGGTCAAGTTGGTCAAGCGGGTCAAGTGGGTCAAGAGGGTCAAGAGGGGGTGGCAGGGGCGGGGACTCACCAGGCCGAGGGCAATCTCATTGGCTGATCGCAGTCCAAAGAGGTCAAACAGGTCAGAGGACAGGAAAGTCATGCTACCTGATCCAGACAACTGGGTCAAGCGGGTAAAAATTGTGACTCACCGGGCCGGGAGCGATTTCATCGACGGATCGCAGGCCAAAGAGGTCAAAGAGCAGATGGCTGTCCGCCTCCCTGCCCACCCACACCACGGCCTCCTCCCCGTTCTCCACCAGAAACACTCCATCCGGCTCGAGCTTTTCACTGGAGAGGGGGAGAGCGGAGGGCAGGTGCTCATGCTGCTCCTGTGCATCCTCGGTCCCATTCTGCTGCTTCTGCTGTTCCTGAAAGGTAGAAACGGGAGGTGATGGGAGGGGAAAAACAAGAGATGAAGAGAGGTTGAGCCCACCCACACCACGGCCTCCTCCCCATTCTCCACCAGAAACACTCCGTCCGGCTCGAGCTTCTCGCTTGAGAGGGGCAGGGCAGACGGCAGGTGCTCATGCTGCTCCTGCCCCTCATGTTCTGCTGCTCCTGCCCCTCATGTTCTGCTGCTCCTGCCCCTCATGTTCTGCTGCTCCTGCCCCTCATGTTCTGCTGCTCCTGCCCCTCATGTTCTGCTGCTCCTGCCCCTCATGTTCTGCTGCTCCTGCCCCTCATGTTCTGCTGCTCCTGCCCCTCATGTTCTGCTGCTCCTGCCCCTCATGTTCTGCTGCTCCTGCCCCTCATGTTCTGCTGCTCCTGCCCCTCATGTTCTGCTGCTCCTGCCCCTCATGTTCTGCTGCTCCTTCCCCTCATGTTCTGCTGCTCCTGCCCCTCATGTTCTGCTGCTCCTGCCCCTCATGTTCTGCTGCTCCTGCCCCTCATGTTCTGCTGCTCCTGCCCCTCATGTTCTGCTGCTCCTGCCCCTCATGTTCTGCTGCTCCTGCCCCTCATGTTCTGCTGCTCCTGCCCCTCATGTTCTGCTGCTCCTGCCCCTCATGTTCTGCTGCTCCTGCCCCTCATGTTCTGCTGCTCCTGCCCCTCATGTTCTGCTGCTCCTGCCCCTCATGTTCTGCTGCTCCTGCCCCTCATGTTCTGCTGCTCCTGCCCCTCATGTTCTGCTGCTCCTGCCCCTCATGTTCTGCTGCTCCTGCCCCTCATGTTCTGCTGCTCCTGCCCCTCATGTTCTGCTGCTCCTGCCCCTCATGTTCTGCTGCTCCTGCCCCTCATGTTCTGCTGCTCCTGCCCCTCATGTTCTGCTGCTCCTGCCCCTCATGTTCTGCTGCTCCTGCCCCTCATGTTCTGCTGCTCCTGCCCCTCATGTTCTGCTGCTCCTGCCCCTCATGTTCTGCTGCTCCTGCCCCTCATGTTCTGCTGCTCCTGCCCCTCATGTTCTGCTGCTCCTGCCCCTCATGTTCTGCTGCTCCTGCCCCTCATGTTCTGCTGCTCCTGCCCCTCATGTTCTGCTGCTCCTGCCCCTCATGTTCTGCTGCTCCTGCCCCTCATGTTCTGCTGCTCCTGCCCCTCATGTTCTGCTGCTCCTGCCCCTCATGTTCTGCTGCTCCTGCCCCTCATGTTCTGCTGCTCCTGCCCCTCATGTTCTGCTGCTCCTGAAGGAATAAGAGAAGAGGAAAACGGGACAGAAAACAGGAGGAAAAATGAGAGGTTGAGGGCGCACCACTGCCTCCTCCCTGTTATCCAGCAGAAGCACCCCATCGGTCGGGCTGAAGCTTCTAACTGGAAAGGGGACACGGAGCAGGGTACACAGAGCAAGGCAGAGAAGCGGTGCTGAGCGGTGCAGGGGCAGGTGAGATGAGGTGCGGAGAGGTGCAAAAAGGTGCCCTCGGTAGCACTTGATTACTTTGGTCTCTGCCTCACCTGGTTAGCAGCATCCTGGAGAAGGTGGTGCAGGGCGAAGAGGCGCGGGTAGACCAAGGGCACACAGAGCGAGGCAGCGAGGGGCCGCACTCTGGCGAGCCAGGCCAGCTTGATGTGTCTATAGCCTGGCTCCCCAGTCACAGAATGGCATCTTACCTGATTCGCTGCATCCTGGAGAAGGTGGTGCAGGGCGAAGAGGCGCGGGTAGACCAAGGGCACACAGAGCGAGGCGGAGAGGGGTGAAGAGCGGTGCAGGGACAGGTGACAAGAGGTGCAGAGGGGTGCAGCGAGGTGCATGCAATAACACTCACCTGGTTGGCAGCATCCATTAGAAGGTGGTGCAGGGCGAAGAGGCGCGGGTAGACTAAGGGCACACAGAGCGAGGCAGAGAGGCGCATAGGGATGCACAGGCAGGCGACAAGAGGTGCAGAGCGGTGTAGATAGGTGCAAAAAGTGAAGCTTACCTGGTTAGCAGCATCCATTAGAAGGTGGTGCAGGGCGAAGAGGCGCGGGTAGACCAAGGGCACACAGAGCGAGGCGGAGAGGGGGCGGACTCTTGCGAGCCAAGCCGACCGCTCGTCCACCTTCACGTCTCCTCTGAGGCCCTGCGACTTGAGCAGCGCTGTGAGGGGGCACATTGGGGCGAAAGAAAGGGAAGGAGAGACAGGAGAGAGATGGGGACGATGTGGAGGGGAACGGGCAGGGCACAGCGCACTCTGACCAGCCAAGCCAGCCGCTCGTCCACCTTCACGTCTCCCCTGAGGCCCTGCGACTTGAGGAGCGATGGGGGAGGGAGGGGTGATGGGATGATGGGGCAAAGGAAGGGGAGTGCGCAGAGGACGGGGATACGAGATGAGCTGATGCGGGCGCACACTCTATCGGCCACGCCGACCGCTCGCCCACCTTCACGTCTCCCCTCAGACCCTGCGACTTGAGGAGCGCTGGGGGGAGATGGGAGTAAAAGGGTGGGGACAAAGCGGATGGGATTACGGGTAGAGCACGACAGAGGTGGATGGAAGGGGGACACAGACAGATTGGAAACACCTTACTCACACCACCACCGCTTGCGGTGGGAGTGGAGGATGGAGGGACCCACACCAGGCACGGGGCTTAGGGAGGCTTCATTTATACACTCTAATGCCACTCACCCAAGGTGTATAGAGGCAGCAGCTTGAGTGCCTCTGGTAAGATAAGTTGCCCGGACGAAGAAGCAGTGGCGCAGAACTTGCGGTAGGTGTAGAGAATGGAAGGTATGAGGGATGCGGATGGAAGAAAGGGCTTACCCAGGGTGTAGAGAGGCAGCAGTTTGAGTGCCTCTGGTAAGATGAGCAGTCACTCCCTCACTCACCTGCTCCCCCCACACACACCTGTCCGCCTGTAATCCTGGGAATGACAGCGATGGAAGCAGCATCGGCAAACCCCTGGGTGGTCAAGAACACATCCACCGACACTTGGAAGTCCGCCATCTCTTCCGCCATCAGCCTCAGCTGCTTGTCGTTGGGCTGCCCCATCCCCCACTGCAAGTCACTCCCTCACTCACCTGCTCCCCCCACACACACCTGCCCGCCTGTAATCCTGGGAACGACAGCGATGGAAGCTGCATCAGCGAACCCCTGGGTGGTCAGAAAAATGTCCACCGCCACTTGGAAGTCCGCCATTTCCTCCGCCATCGGCCTCAGCTGCTTGTCGCTGGGCTGCAGCAGCTTCAGCACGTCTTTATCCGCCACTGTCGCATTCGCCCTCCCTTCGGCCTCTCGAGAGGAAAGTGAACCGAGGCCCACAGAGGGGAGAACTGGAGGAGAGACAGGGACAGGGGGTGGGTACAAGGGAAAAGGTAAGGCGGGATGTGGGGTGCTTGTCGTTGGGCTGCAGCAGCTTCAGCACGTCTTTATCCGCCACGGAGGCATTCGGCCGTCCCTCTGCTTTCCGCGAGGAGAGCGATCCGATTCCCACGGAGGGAAGAACTGGAGGAGGAGAGGGGCAGGAAGGGAGAGGCGGAGAAGAGAGGTCAGAGAGCGGAACAATTTTTGAAGGAAGGACCGAGGGAGGAAGGTCTGCGACGCATACACAGCTTCGAACATCACAGTTCGCACCTGGAAGGCAGATTACAGCTGGATGAATAAAGAGACCTAATATAGTACCTGGAAGGCAGATTACATGCCGTGACTACCAGATTAGACACAACACCTGAGTGGAAAACTACAACAAATATCTACTCAATTGCAGTGCTCAACGATTGAGATAATTAGACTAGCAACCTGAAAAAGAAGTGCAGTGCTCAACTAAAGAGCTGCAGTACATGACTGGAAGGCACGGATCCGGCCTCCTGTTCACTTCATCGCGAGGAGAATGCACTGCACCACTGTGGGGCTCAATCTCCTGACCTTTACAGGTGTTGAACCCGAAGCTGCAGCCACTTTTTGACTCTACGACACCAAACTGGTGTTCAACCGGGCAATACCTGACTGGAAGGCGAGGATCCGGCCTCCTGTTTTCTTCATAGCAAGGAAAGCACCCTGGGAGGGAGGGAGAGGAAGGGGGAGTGGGAGGAAAGATGGAAGGGGGAGAGACCGGGTGAGTAGAGGAAACACACAAGAGGAGTGAGTGGAAGGCAAGGATCCGGCCTCCTGTTTTCTTCATAGCAAGGAAAGCACCCTGGAAGGGAGAGAGAGAGCAGGAGTGGGAGGAGAGGTGGAAGCGGGAGAGAGAGGAAAAACAGACAAGTAGAGTGAGTGGAAGGCAAGAATCCGGCCTCCTGTTTTCTTCATAGCAAGGAAAGCACCCTGGAAGGGAGAGAGAGAGCAGGAGTGGGAGGAGAGGTGGAAGCGGGAGAGAGAGGAAAAACAGACAAGTAGAGTGAGTGGAAGGCAAGAATCCGGCCTCCTGTTTTCTTCATAGCAAGGAAAGCACCCTGGAAGGGAGAGAGAGAGCAGGAGTGGGAGGAGAGGTGGAAGCGGGAGAGAGAGGAAAAACAGACAAGTAGAGTGAGTGGAAGGCAAGAATCCGGCCTCCTGTTTTCTTCATAGCAAGGAAAGCACCCTGGAAGGGAGAGAGAGAGCAGGAGTGGGAGGAGAGGTGGAAGCGGGAGAGAGAGGAAAAACAGACAAGTAGAGTGAGTGGAAGGCAAGAATCCGGCCTCCTGTTTTCTTCATAGCAAGGAAAGCACCCTGAAATGGAGCGAAAAGAGGAGAGAAAGGAGTCAGCAACGCGTGTCTTGGCAAACAACAATCCATGCACCCAACACCCACATGCCATGCACCCACACCCCTTCCCCCCCACACACACCCACCTGCAGCACTGCTCCCAGGCGCGAGTCAACAACGCGTGTCTCGGCAAACACCCATGCACGCACCCACCCACTCTCACCTGCAGAGCTGCCCCCAGGCACGAGTCAGCAACGCAACTCTCAGCGAATATCTGAGGGATCAATCAACTGACCCCAGCAGTCCCACATCCATACCCACACACATATACATCACTACCCTCTCTTCACCCACGCGCACACTAAGCACACAACCTTCCACCCACCTGCAGCGCTGCCCCCAGGCAGGAGTCAGCAACACGTGTCTCGGCAAACACCCCTTCATGCGCCTAACACACACATACACACATGCCCCTCACATCACACTCACCCACCTCCTCCATCCACCCACCTGCAGCGCTGCCCCCAGGCACGAATCAGCAACACGTGTCTCGGCAAACATCTGAGGAATCGACTCCAGAAGCTGCTGCAGCCGCTCCCGTGCCTGCATGGAGGGATGAGGATGAGAAGAGATGAGCGGTGAGGGATGAGAGGGGATGAGAGAGGGGATGAGAAGGGATGACAGGGAATGACAGGGAATGACAGGGCTTGGGGTTGCAAGGGGTAGCAATGAAGGCCCGCAGGGGATCGTATCAGGGGGCAAGACAGCATGGGAATGACATGACCTCCCATGACCTGATCATCCCTGTCATGGGTCATTGAAGCTGCGACTCAAGCGTACCATACCATGGCTACGGGACTCAACACCACGACTCACCTCGTCAAGCGGAACGATGAGGTCAGACGGCAGGGGCGTGAATACACGTCCTAAACCTCTGGCGCGTTCCTTGAATTCTTCTGACTGCTGCTCGCCCAGTCCAGTCTACATGGCTGGAGGGACTCACCTCGTCAAGCGGAACGATGAGGTCTGACGGCAGGGGGGTGTAGACGTCCTCCACCTCTGGGACCACCAGCATGGACGGCTGCAGGCAGGGCACAAAGGGCACCGGGAGGGAGGGGGGGTAGTGGGACGAGGGTTTTGTGGTGTTTGAAGGGACAATAAGGCCCTATCAGGTCTGATGGCAGGGGAATGTACACGTCCTCCACCTCTGGGACCACAAGCATGGATGGCTGGAGGGCGGGAGGAAAGGGAGAGGGTTGTGGGGTTCATAGGCACAATAACTGGCATGGTAAGATTGGGTGTGAGGACTGACAAGGTCAGACGGCGGGGGCGTGTACATGTGTTTCACTTCACGGACCATCAGCATGGGCGGGTGCAAGTGGAAAGAGGAGGGGGGGAAGGATGTTGTATAGAAATGATCAAGTGGTAGACGATAAGGCGATTCTGTGCAAGTGGATGGTGGAGGTGGACAGGTGGAAAGCGTAAGTGTTAGTGCAAGTGACAAGTGTATTGTGAGAGTCACACGGAGAGCTCACCTGCGCCAGGGAGCTGTTGAGGCTGTAGAATTGGATGGTTGAGTTGAAAGTGAAGGAACGGTGGTCAGTTTACCTTGACTTGACGGGAAACAAGTAACACAAACAGCTGCTTACCTGCGCCAGGGAGCTGTTGAGGCTGTAGAATTGGATGGTGGAGTTAAATGTGGCGAATGCAACGAGCGTGCGACCACCCTCCTGAAAAGAGGGAGAGAGAGAGCGAGAAGTGGTGCGCAGAGGGATGAAGAGGGGTGGAGAGGGGTGAACACGGGTGGATGGTATAGCACGCGAGCCAGGGAGCTGTTGAGGCTGTAGAATTGGATGGTGGAGTTAAAAGTGGCAAAGGCAACGAGCGTGCGACCGCCCTCCTGGGGGAAAGAAAGGGGTGAGAAGGGGTGAAGAGGGGTGGGATGGGGAGGGACGAGGTTTTTGAGAATTCTCATAAACCAGGTGGGTGCACTCGCAGGCATGTCATGCAGGATGCAAGAGATGGAGGAGCAGTCAGCTCAGCTCCAACAATTCCAACAAACTTACGGCTTGACTTTGATTAGTGCAACGAAGTCTTTACTATAAAGGGATAGCAGCACCACAGAATACTCACAGGAAGGTCCTGGAGAATGCGGGAGATGGAGGAGCACACAGCCGAGGCAGCTCCAATCCAGCACTCTCCCCAGCATAGGGGACTTGGTAAATACCTAATCATACCTTTGCAGATGAAACATATCATATCATGTGTGTGGTGAACTCACAGGCAGGTCCTGGAGAATGCGGGAGATGGAGGAGCAGGCAGCCGAGGCAGCTCCGGAGGCGACAGCGTTAAAAGAGACATCCAGAAGAAAGAAGTAGACCGGCGGCATGGCATCGCGGATCTGAATGGGGTTGTGGGTAGGGAAAGAAAACGCAGCAGAAGTGGAAGAGGAAAGAAGTGACAAGGCAGTAGAGGCAGAAGAGGCAGCTCCAGAGGCAACAGCATTAAAACAGACGTCAAGGAGGAAGAAGTAGACCGGCGGCACGGCATCGCGGATCTGAGAGGGAAAGAGGGGGGAGAGGGAGGAGGTAGACGTGACAAGGCGGTAGAGGGAGGAGAGACAGCTACGGAAGCTCTAGCGTTAAAGGAGACACCCAGGAGGAAGAAGTAGACTGGCGGCATGGCATCACGGATCTGATGGGAAACGAAGGGGAAGAGTGCGGGGAACTGCTGTGAGAACGGGGGTGGTGCTAAGGTTGGAGCCACAGGACGCAGCAGGGAGAGAGGAAGCAGCTCCAGAGGCCACTGCATTGAAAGAGACGTGGAGGAGGGAGAAACAGATAGGGGGCATGGCATCTCGGATCTGATATGGGGGAGAGGAGAGGTGGGAGGTTTGGAAAGAGGGCAGAAGAGGGGGTTGGGGGGTTGGGAGGACTGAAATCACAGGGCAGCAGAGGCAGTAGAGGGAGGAGAGGCAGCTCCAGAGGCGACGGTGTTGAAGGAGACATGGAGGAGGAAGAAGTAGACCAGAGGCATGGCATCACGGATTTGAATGAGGGGAAGGGGAGGGAGTGTAAGTGGAAGAGGGGTTGAGGGAACCGCAGTCACAAGGCAGCAGAGGCAGCTCCAGAGGCGACGGTGTTGAAGGAGACATGGAGGAGGAAGAAGTAGACTGGGGGCATGGCATCACGGATCTGATATGGAGAAGGGAGGAGCGGGCAAGCGAAGAAACGAGGGGACTGAAATCACAAGGCACCAGAGGCAGCCCCACAGCGTTGAAGGAGACATCAAGGAGGAAGAAGTAGACTGGGGGCATGGCGTCGCGCTCCCGTGCATCAGCTCTCAACGCATAACACTTACCTACCATCTTTTTAGGCGGATAAGTTCACCCACAACAGTGTAACCCCCCTGGCCACCACACTCACCGAGTATTCCTTTGGAGCCACAAACTCCATGCTCCCATGCATCATCATCCCATGCACCACCTTTCTACCCCTCTGCACACCACACCACTCACCGAGTACTCCTTGGGAGCCACGAACTCCACGCTCCCATGCATCAGCTCCGGCCGCTCGTCTGCGTCCCTCCGCCTGCCTGCAGCTTGCCATCCGAGCCCTCATCCCTGCTCCCATGCACCAACATGCATCCACTGCATTCACAGCATTCACTTCACCGAATACTCACCGAGTACTCCTTGGGAGCCACAAACTCCACGCTCCCGTGCATCAGCTCCGGCCGCTCGTCCGCGTCTCGTCGCCTGCCATCCGGGCCAAGATTGCACACGTACTCACGGGGAGTCTCGTTGGATACGCCTGGAGCGGGAGCAGGCCCAGGGGAGGGGGAGGTGGGGAAAAGAGATTGCATCAGCTCTGGCCGCTCGTCCGGGTCCCTCCGCCTGCCATCGGGGCCGAGATTGCACACATACTCACGGGGAGTCTCGTTGGACACGCCTGGTGGTGGGAGAGAAGAATAAATGGAAAGTGGGGAAACAATGGGGGTTGATTCATTCACTGTATTGGAAGGTACGTCCCTGCGCCTGCCGTCCGGGCCGAGATTGCACACGTACTCACGAGGGGTCTCGTTGGAGACGCCTGGTGGTGGGAGAGATGAAGAGGTGGAAAGTGGGGGGGAGGGGGGGTTGACCGTTGATTCATTCACCGCATTAGAAAGAACGTCCCTGCGCCTGCCTTCCGGACCGAGATTGCACACGTACTCGCGAGGAGTCTCGTTGGAGACGCCTGGTGGGGAAGGGGGGCGAGGAGAGAGGAAGAGAAGGGTTTAATTCACTCGCTGCATTGGAAAGTAAGTCTCTCCGCCTGCCGTCAGGGCCGAGGTTGCACACGTACTCGCGGGGAGCACCACACAGGTTACAGATGAACTTCCTCCTCCCATGGTCCACGAATCGCATGAACGGGTTGATGTACGCCTTACAGTGACCACCCATCCTCCCAAACCCACCTCCCCTCTCGCCCTTCCCACTCACGCACTAAACAGGTTGCAAATGAACTTCCTCCTCCCATGATCCACAAATCGCATGAACGGGTTGATGTAATCCGTGCCCTCCCAGTCCTCTCTCTCTCCTCACCCTTGACTAGAACCAGCTCATATCTCTCCCCTCCCTCCCACGCACCACACAGGTTGCAGATGAACTTCCTCCTACCAGGTTCCACGAATCGCATGAACGAACTGATGCATGTGTATGCCTATGCCTGTATGCCCCTCCCTCTCTCCCCCTCTCCCTCCCTCCCTTCACCATTCCACGCACCACACAGGTTGCAAATGAACTTCCTTCCGTGGTCCATGAATCGCATGAACGGGTTGATGTACGCCTTGCAGTCTTGCTCCCACCTACTCTCCCAACCCCACCCCTCCCCTCTCTCTCTTCCCCCCACGCACCACACAGGTTGCAGATGAACTTCCTCCCATGGTCCACGAATCGCATGAATGGGTTGATGTATGCCTTGCAGCGGTGGCACCTGACGGGGCCCATCTCGCCAAAGTCCACCACCTGGAAGGACAGAGAGACACCGTGTATGGAATAAGGAGGATTGACAGGAGGGAAGGGTTGATGACAGCAGGTGCGACAGGGCATGAAGGGGTTGATGTATGCCTTGCAGCGGTGGCACCTGACGGGGCCCATCTCGCCGAAATCCACCACCTGGAGAGACAGAGACACAGAGGAAGGAGATGGGAGAAGGAGAAGGGAAAGGATTGTTGAGAGCAGGTGCGGCAGTGCATGAATGCATGAATCAGCACGGCAGTTGGCATGAACGGGTTGATATACGCCTTGCAGCGGTGGCACCTGACGGGCCCCATCTCGCCAAAGTCAACCACCTGGAGGGAAGGAGATGGGACGATAGGAGCAAGAAGAGCAACAGTGCACCAATCAAGCATGGCAGTGCAATGGGCATGAATGGGTTGATGTATGCCTTGCAGCGGTGGCACCTGACGGGCCCCATCTCGCCAAAGTCAACCACCTGGAGGGAAGGAGATGGGACGATAGGAGCAAGAAGAGCAACAGTGCATCAATCAAGCATGGCAGTGCAATGGGCATGAATGGGTTGATGTATGCCTTGCAGCGGTGGCACCTGACAGGGCCCATCTCTCCAAAGTCCACCACCTGGGGGGATGGGAGGAGAGAGACGAAGAAGGGAAGAAGCACGGGTTTAACAATGGCAGAGCATGAAATAATGGTCAGCACGGCAGGGCATGAAGGCATTGTCTGATGTATGCCTTGCAGCGGTGGCACCTGACAGGCCCCATCTCTCCAAAGTCCACCACCTGAGGGGGAAGAGACAGAAGGAGAAGAGGGAGAAGAGGGAGAAGAGGGAGGGGAAAGGGTCGATGGATCATGGAAGCAGGTGCGCCCTCCAGTGCATGAGGTGCAGGAAACTAGTGGGCTGTCAAAGGCATGAATGGGTTGATTCATGTATGTACGCCTTGCAGCGGTGGCACCTGACAGGGCCCATCGCTCCGAAGTCCACCTCCCACCCACCCAGCCTGCCATCTGCATGTGAAGTGAGAGGCTACCAGCAGCCCTACCAGCCGAACCTGAGTCACGCTACTCCCACTCACATGAACGGGCGTGTCAGCTGGTTCCTGCAGAGCAAATGGCTGAATCATGATGCTGAGAGGCATGGCGGAGGTGGTGAGGCGCACACCCACCCAACCAGCCACCCAGCCTGTTGTTAATTGGTGGGCCTACACCACCCTACCTGAAACCCCTCTTACATGCACGGGCGTATCGGCCGGGTCCTGCAGTGCGAACGGTTGAATCATGACTCTGAGAGGCATGGCGGAGGTGGTGAGGGGGCCATCCTCCAAGCAGCCTGCCGGCCATCTAGGAATGAGATGAGCCTACTACCATACCAGGCCTACCTGACACACAGTCACTCACACCACTCTCACTCACATGCACGGGCGTGTCAGCCGGGTCCTGCAGGGCGAAGGGCTGAATCATGATACTGAGAGGCATGGCGGAGGTGTTGGGGGTGAGGGCCCAACCACCCAGCCTGTCATCTGCATGTGAGGTGAGACTACCAGCCCCACCAGCCCCACCTGACGCACAGTCCTATCTCACTCACATGCACGGGCGTGTCAGCCGGGTCCTGCAAGGCGAATGGCTGGATCATGATGCTGAGAGGCATGGCGGAGGTGGTGAGGAGATCCGCAGAGAGAGGTATCTGGACGAGTGTGTGTTTGGCAGAGGGGTGGAGGGGGGCAGCAATGAGGGGTAGAGGGGGAAGGGAAGAGTGTGAGAAGGTGCCAGAGGTGGTGGCGGCTAGACCATGATGCTGAGAGGCATGGCGGAGGTGTTGAGAAGATCCGCGGAGAGGGGTATCTGGAGGGGAGGGGGGAAGGATAGAGAGAGAAGGGGGGTGTGTGAGGAGATGTCAGAGGTGGTGAGGAGATGTCAGAGGTGGTGAGGAGATGTCAGAGGTGGTGAGGAGATGTCAGAGGTGGTGAGGAGATGTCAGAGGTGGTGAGGAGATGTCAGAGGTGGTGAGGAGATGTCAGAGGTGGTGAGGAGATGTCAGAGGTGGTGAGGAGATGTCAGAGGTGGTGAGGAGATGTCAGAGGTGGTGAGGAGATGTCAGAGGTGGTGAGGAGATGTCAGAGGTGGTGAGGAGATGTCAGAGGTGGTGAGGAGATGTCAGAGGTGGTGAGGAGATGTCAGAGGTGGTGAGGAGATGTCAGAGGTGGTGAGGAGATGTCAGAGGTGGTGAGGAGATGTCAGAGGTGGTGAGGAGATGTCAGAGGTGGTGAGGAGATGTCAGAGGTGGTGAGGAGATGTCAGAGGTGGTGAGGAGATGTCAGAGGTGGTGAGGAGATGTCAGAGGTGGTGAGGAGATGTCAGAGGTGGTGAGGAGATGTCAGAGGTGGTGAGGAGATGTCAGAGGTGGTGAGGAGATGTCAGAGGTGGTGAGGAGATGTCAGAGGTGGTGAGGAGATGTCAGAGGTGGTGAGGAGATCCGAGGAGAGAGGTATCTGGAGCAAGGAGGAAGGCAGAGAGCAAGGAGGCAAGGATGGGAAGGGGAGAGGGAGGGTAGGAAGAAGGGGTAGGAGGGGAGAGTGTGAGGTGAGAAGGTGCCGGTGGTGGTGTGAGCTGAAAAGTATGGCGGAGTGAGGCGATTCGCGGAAAGGGGTATCGGGGGAAAGATTCGGCGAATCCTTGCGGAAGGATTTGATAGTGTGAGAAAGGAAAGTGTGAGACTGTGCCAGTTGTCACACCTGCTGGCACCTGCTGGCACCTGCTCACACCTGCCCACACCTGCTCACACCTGCTCTCTCACCTGGTTCAGCGATGCTCGGATAAATCGGGGGCTGCAGTTTCCCGTGTCGCGGACCACAAACGATGACGTGGCAGCCTGTGATAGGAGCAAGGGCGCGCACGGGCAGGGAAAACAAGACGCACGGGCAGGGAAAACAAGACGAGGATTGAACGGGTGTAGCGTCAGGGGGGCGGGGGGGAGGGGGAGCGCGCGGGGGGGGGAGGGAGGGGGGGGAGAAAAGTGTGAAGGAAATGCAAATATTTCGTTGGGGTTGATACTGATTTTGGCCTGACAACCACTGTACGCCAGTACAGCGAGGGCAAGTGAAGGGGGCGGAGGAAAACACGACAAACACTTTGCTGCGAGGGCGAGCAGAGCAGCACTCACCGGAGGCAGGTTGGCCGTGCCGTTCACTCTCGTCTCGAACAGAAACGCGTCCGCGGGGGGCGGAGGGCAGGGGATCTGGTTGGCGCCGACCCCTGCTGCAAGGGCAAGCAGAGCAACCTCACACCTTGCTCACACTCACCGGAGGCAGGTTGGCCGTGCCGTTGACCCTCGTCTCGAACAAAAACGCGTCCGCGGGGGGGGAGGGCGCGGGATCTGGTTGGGGTCGATCCGAGACCCGGGCGCTGAGCCCTGCTGCAAGAGCAAGCAGACAGGGCAACCTCACACCTTGCTCACACTTACCGGAGGCAGGTTAGCCGTGCCGTTGACCCGCGTCTCAAAGAGAAACGCGTCCGCAGGAGGGGGAGGGCGGGGGATCTGGTTGGGGTCGATCCGAGACCCGGGCGCCGACCCCTGCTGCCCCGCCGCCTGGCCTGTGAAGGGCGCCATGGGCTGCCGCGCGCCCATGCCGGGGGAGGGGGGCGCATGTCCGCCCATGCCCGGGGACTGGGGAGGGGCGCCCACGCCCGGAGGCTGGGGAAGGGGAAGGGCGGGGGAGGGAGGAGGGAGGGAAGAGAGGGGAAGAAGGGGGGGCCACGAACAGCGGAGAACGAGAGAGGGAGGTTAGGGCACGAGCGGACCCCTGCTGTCCCGCCGGCTGGCCTGTGAAGGGCGCCATGGGCTGCCGCGCGCCCATGCCGGGGGAAGGGGGCTGCATTCCGGGGGACTGGGGGGGCGCGCCCACGCCCGGAGGCTGGGGTGGGGGAGGAGAGGGGAAAAACGGAGGGGAGAGAGGCCTGTGAAGGGCGCCATGGGCTGCCGCGCGCCCATCCCGGGGGAGGTGGGCGCATGTCCGCCCATGCCTGGGGACTGGGGGGGCGCGCCCACGCCCGGGGGCTGAGGAGTGGGAAGGTGGGAAGAGAAGAGGGTCGACGGGGGAGGGAGGGGGGAAGGGGGAGAGGGAGGGGGGAAGGGGGAGAGGGAGGGGGGCAGGGGGAGAGGGAGGGGGGAAGAGGGAGGAGGAGGAACAAAATGAGTGGGGGAGCTTAGGGCGCGTACCCCTGCTGCCCCGGCGCCTGGCCTGTGAAGGGCGCCATGGGCTGCCGCGCGCCCATCCCGGGGGAAGGGGGCGCATGTCCGCCCATGCCCGGGGACTGGGGTGGCGCGCCCACGCCCGGGGGCTGGGGAGGGGGAGGAGGGAGGAGGGGGATGGGGAGGAGGGAGGGGGGAAGAGGGTGGGAGGAAGAGGGGTGAGTGGGGAAATCAGGGCGCGGACCCCTACTGCCCCGCCGGCTGCCCTGTGAAGGGCGCTGTGGGGGAGGGGGGATGCATGCCGGGGGACTGGGGGGGCGGGCCCACGCCCGGAGGCTGGGGAGCGGGAGAGGGGGGGGCAAAAGGATGACAATTTGGGGCGATTGGAAAAACTGGGAGAAAGAAAAGCATATATTGCCCTAAGTTCCCGCGTATGTCCCCATACCTAACGAGGATTCCCTGTGCGTAGGCCCTCATATCATAACCCAAACGAGGAATTCAGGGAACAGCTAAATGCACGTGAGCTCTCATACTGGTTAGGGTTTCAGAGTCTAAAAGCGGTATAAAATGTGAACCTTCCCAAATCTCGGAGAACGAAGACAAACAACCTATCCGAATCAAATCAAAGCGAGCGCACCTGACGATTTGGCAGGGATCGGGCACAAAGGGTGGTAACTTTACACGAAAACGACATAAACTCTCAAGCGTTGACAGGATCGGCGCACTCACCGTTCCCGCGGGCATGGGATACGCGCGTCGCTGCCCCGCGCCAGCAGTCGGGGGAGCGCCGAAGGGCGGCGGAGGCCCCGCGCCGGGCATCATGGCTCCGCCAGGCGGAGGGCCTGTCGGGGGGGCGGCGGAGAACGGCGGAGGCGGCGCATGCTGCCCGTACTGCCCCGGCGCGGACCCGGGCGGAGGCGGAGTATGCTGCGCGTATTGCCCCGGGGCGGACCCGGGCGGCGCACCGTATTGCCCCGGGACAGGAGGCGGAGGGCTGCCCATAGCCAGCGCGCTCATTTGCTGGGTTGGCGGAGCAGATTGCGTGGCGGCTCCCCCCCATGACGGCGGCGCAGCGCCAGGCGGAGGGTGAGGTGCGCCGAAGGGCGGCGGAGGCCCTCCGGGCGCGTTAACAGGCGCGCCTGGCTGCGCCAGCTGCGGCGGAGCGCCGTACGATGGCGAACCATACGGCGCGGGTCCGCCAGGCGGAGGGCGGGCTTGCACCGGCGGCGGGGGGCCCTGCTGCTGGGGGGGGTAGCCAGGGTACTGCTGCGGCGCACCGGGGTATCCGGCAGGGGGACCGCCGGGACGAGGGGCGCCAGGGGGAGCGGCGCCTGGCGGAGCGGAACCCGGCGGAGGACCGCCAGGGCGCGGCCCCCCCGCGGGGGGGCCCGCGAAGGGGCCAGGCGGACGGGCTGCTCCTCCTGGCGGACCACCCGCGGGAGGGCCTTGAAAACCCGCAGGCGGACCCGCAAATCCAGCTGGCGGGCCTCGCGCGCCGGGTGGCGCAACCCCCGGGGGAGGCGGACCTGCGGGCCGCGAGCCCGGCGGAAGGCCGGCGAACGGTCCGCCGGGGAACGGAGGTCCGGCGGGCCTTGCGCCAGCCGGCTGCGCGGATCCCGGCGCACCAGGCGGAACCTGTCCCGGACCAGGGGGTCCGCGCGGAAATCCGGGTTGTTGCGGGGGGTGCTGGCCCGGGGGGAAACCCGGTCGTGCTGGCGGAGCGGTTCCCGGGGGCAGGCCGTACGGCGGAGCGGCGCCGGGTGGAGGGGGACGCCAGCCTGGGGGAGGATTCTGAGGCCTCATGGCTGGCGGATGCTACAGTGTTACAGAACCAATTGATGTTACAATCTGATGCTACAATCTGATCCTACTGAACGATCCTACAATTAGCGACCAGCGCTTTGCGAGCCAGAGACGGGAAACCAAGATTTGATTTTTCAAAACTCGGGATCGGGGAAACTGCTGTTTCAACTGGCTTGATTGGAATAGATCCCTAAAATACTCCCTACCAATTAGTTGTGCGAAGGATCTGCTAGTCTGATCAATGAGCCAGAATTGCCGCGAGAAAGGAAGCAGTGTCAGAAGTTCTGGAAGACTGCGTTGTGGAAGGTGGGAGCATTTTGAAATCATGTACCACTGCTACGGTACGGTGCGGTTCAAAGTGGTAAAGGTCAGTTACCGTGTGGAAGCCTACTGCACCGTATCGAACGACTTGCGAGAACACAACATAGACACACCCCCATGAAACGGATCTCCAAACCAATCGGACCCCCAGCAAACCTAGAACATACCGCGGCTGACTGGGATTTCGCGAAGTGTGATCCGCTGTGCGAAGACAACGAAACTAGCTTTGTCGACCAACCCTTCAGGCACACACGATTCAACTTTTGACGGTAGAGATCTCTCCACGAGTTAGGGCACCCAAGCCTGCAGTAACTCACCCGCAATCTTTCCTGCTACTGGGCTTGGTGGCTTTGCGGTCAGGTTGTCAGCAACGTTACGAGAAAATGCACTTCGTTTTGAGTTGTGAAAGCGAGTATATGTGATTACAACCACTGTCATACAAATAGAAACTACACAAGATATAGCGAGGGACCTTGCAAGGCGAAAACCTCGGAAGTCGCTGAATGTGGGCTATATATTACGCTAGGTTAGTTTTGGTTTGGCGGGCCTACAGAGTACTGCATTCGGAGCCTGCAGTAGCGAATCCTAGAACTCAACGTCTGCGATCTCATCCATTCGTTCTCGTCGTCGCTTGGCAACCGACCGACCTAGCCAAAGCATGATAATCCGTCCGTCGGTCCAGCACGATCATCACAGATATCGACACACGCACTGGCGTCCCCCGATTCGCGGGACTGTCTACGACTTTGTGCAACCATCGGTGTTATCGCCAGCCCATCGCGCAGGTCTCGATGAGGAAGTTCGGGGAGTTTGTCAGCCACAAGCTCCGCCACTGCGCTTCACCCGAACAGACCGTGTGGTCCCAGAAAGTTCATACGCGCCCTGTCGGAAAAACACGGGGCTGGGGGACCCGCTCTCCCCCTCCACCAACATCCCGCGGTCTTCTTCAGATTTGTTCGGGTCGAGAGAGATTGCGAGGGCGCTTTGTACGTAGGTAGCTAGAATACAATTGGTCGCGAAGAGTGTTTGCGCTCTCACGATTCATTTGTAACCACCCTTCTTCCTCCTGCAGGAATGGGACAACCTCGGGAATTCACACACCTCCTTCAAGACTGCTTGAAGAGTTGTGCTCAGATGGGATGAGGCGAGGAGACTGGTGAGGTGATCCTGAGTGAGATCGGGACTGATTGCTGGGAGCGCCTGGCGAGTCGAACCGGCGCCATTGCCGCGGCGTGATTCTTTACGTGCTTCAACACCGCGTCCCGCTTGGTCCTCGCGCTCCCAGCAGCATCTCTCTTCAAGCGAGTCCAGAGATTAGGACTCCGAGTCCCAAAAGTTGGAGCGGCTCCCTCGGAGACGCGGAGAGAGCGACAGAGAGATAGACCAGGCTGTGGTTCCAGGGGATCCTGCTTGGGCCATCCGACCACGATCACGCGACAAAGGTCTCGAGTGACTCAACTCGCCCAGTCGCCGCCGCTCCCAAACGCTCTCGCTTCCTTCACACCCGTCCCCGCCGCACTCAACGCTGCTCTTTCGCTCCTTTGTTAAAAACTTTGAAGGCACAGCGCTCTGTACGTGGCTTCTCGCATTCCGCTGCGTCCTTTGAGACGTCATAAAAGTGTTTTCACGTTCCGCTCCGTCCAGTGCTTTCCTCAAGGTCACAACGAAGTGATTGGGAGTCCTCGCCGCGATCAAGAGATTCTAGCAAAATGGTTGCGAGTCTGTTAGTCGAGGCGGCGCGCGGCGCGCAGCTAGAGGTGCTGCGACAGGCGACGGTCTGGGAGCGCATCTCCGTCGCGACGACGCTCGCAATAACGTTCGCGAAAGAGCTGGTCGGGATATTCGGTAACGCGCCGTACGGGTTTCACGCCATGGCTATGTATCGGAGCGTGTTTTACGCCAGTAAGCGCGGCTTGGAAGGTCCGCGGAGCAATGGCGGAAGCGGAGGCGGGGAACTGGACGCGGCGGAGGGGGAGATCGCGCGCGGCGAAGCGGGGGACGCGGAAAGCCCGTCCGCGGCTCGGCGGTCGGCGATTGGGATCCGGAAGATGCGGAGACAGCTGACGTCGACAGGTAGAATCGGCGGGGAATGGGGGAGAAATGGGGGAGGGATGGGGGAGGAATGGAGAATGGAAAGCGAGAGGGAATGGGGCAAGGACCAGGAACTGGAGTCAGAGGGGAGAGGTGGGAGGGAGAGGAGGGGGATCTTGCAAAGAGGGAAGGGAGAAGGGGACGCTACAGTGCAAAGCAAGTGAGATGCTGCTCGAATATTTTTTACTAACGTTCTCCCTCCCCATTTGTTCATCGACTCATAGTGGAATTATAACTTTTCCTTTCTACCTTCCCTTGCGCTGACTTCCCCTTGCTGCCCAATTTCTCCCCTTGCTTTGCTTGGAATGGTGTGATATGACCTGGGCTGATATGGCACGGCATGGGGCTGACGTGGCATGACGTGGCTGATCGCTTTTCAGTGTGGAACTGGGCGTCGTCTATGGAGGCGATGCTGTGGCAGGGTCTGCCACATGGCGGCGTGCGAGTGGTCTATGACATCCGTTACGGCCCACGTCCGCGCAACACGTACGTGGCGTGCGAAGGGATGGCGTGGCATGGAACGGGATGATGTGGCATGGGACGGGATGATGTGGCATGGGACGGGATGATGTGGCATGGGACGGGATGATGTGGCATGGGACGGGATGATGTGGCATGGGACGGGATGGCATAACATGTGTTTTGGACTGGACGGAGGGGGATAAGGGATGGGGGATGAGTCTGGATGGGATATGCGTTGGTGGTGGCAATGTGAAAGCGTTTGATGGCATGTGATGGCATGGGACGGATTATGCTATAATGGTCTGGGCACGGAGTAACTGTGTCTGATTTTGATTCTCCATGCATCCATCTTTTCCCAATGTATATATTGTCTGTTTTGTCAAGTGGTTTTTGAGATGATGACTCCTTGTGACCTGTTACGTGCTTCTTTTCTTTCCCACTGCAGCCTAGACATCTACATGCCACCAGAACTGCCACTGCCACTTGACAACAATGCAGCAGAAAGCAGCAGCAGCGGCAGCAGCAGCAGCAGCGGCAGCTGTCATAAAGGAAGCAAGGGGCGGCCGGTCTTGTTTTTTGTGCACGGAGGAGTTTGGTCGAGTGGCGAGAAGTGGATGTATTCTCCGCTCGCGATCCGATTTGCCCAATCCGGGGCGGTGGTGGTTACCATTCAGTACACTCTCTACCCCGAGGTAAGTCACATGTCACACTCGGTTCCCTCCCCACCTCCCACCGACCCCAACACCCGGCTCGTCCTCTTTATTGCGTTCAAGTGAGGCGGCCCTTCCTGCATCTTCCTCCTCTCAGGCTTCTCCCCTCGGTTCCCTCATCCCACCCCCCCCCCCCGCCCAGGCCCTTGGAATAAACCAAGCGCAAGAAACATCAGCCGCGCTCTCATGGGCAATGGATCACATTCACGAGTATGGGGGCCACCCCTCGCGCATCTCCCACATGTTTTTCCCTTCCTTTATCCCCCTCCCCCCTTGCCACCAACCAAGTACAAGAAACCTCTAGGGCGCTCTCATGGGCAATGGATCACATTCACGAGAAAGGGCCCACCCCTCACTCATCCCTCACATGTGTTCCCCTCTTTACTCACACCCTACCCGACAGGCCCTTGCCATAGATCAAGTTCAGGAGACCTCAGTCGCGCTCTCAGAGGCCATGGATCACATTCACGAGAATGGGGGACCAGTGACACATCTTACCCTCATTTCTTCTCTTTACTCTCATGCACGCCCGCACTTCTTCTCTGCTCTATGTCTTGCCTTGCTGATGACTGACAGGCCCTGGCCATAGACCAAGTACAAGAAACTTCTAAGGCCCTCGCATGGGCCATGGATCACATTCACGAGTATGGGGGCGACCCTCTCATATCTTTCCCCTCATCTCTCACACTTTTTCCCCTCTTTGCTCACACCTGCTGACAGGCCCTCGCAATAGACCAAGTGCAAGAGACGTCCAGGGCGCTCTCATGGGCCATGGACCACATTCACGAGTATGGGGGCGACCCCTCGTCCATCTTCCTCACAGGCCACTCATTTCCTCTCCATTTCTCATCACGCCCCCACTTCTTGTCTGCTCTTCGCGCTTCTTCTGACCAACAGGCTCTTGCCATTGACCAAGTGCAAGAAACATCAGCGGCCCTCTCATGGGCCATGGACCACATTCACGAGAATGGGGGCGACCCCTCGCGCATCTTCCTCTCAGGCCACTCATTTCCGTGTTGCCTCCCCGATCCTCCTACCCCCTGCTTTCAACCCCACACACTACCCCTCCAGGCCCTTGCCATCGACCAAGTACAGGAAACTTCCAGAGCCATCTCATGGGCAATGGATCACATTTACGAGCATGGGGGTGACACCTCACTAATCCCTCGTATTCTTCTCCCTGCTTCTCCCTCCCCCCTTCCCCTCCAGGCCCTGGCCATAGATCAAGTGCAGGAAACGTCCAGGGCCCTCTCATGGGCAATGGACCACATTCACGAGTATGGGGGCCACCCCTCACGCATATTCCTGACAGGCCACTCCTCAGGCGCCCATGTGTGCTCCATGGTTGTGTGGCGCCGCCTCAGATCAGCTCTTCGCCTCATGTTCCAGGCGCATGGTAGGGATGTAGCGTCAGCAGCACCCACGGCTGTAGCAGAGGCCGACAGCAGCAGCAACAGTACCAGCACCACCAGCAGCAACAGCAGCAGCAACAGTACCGGTACCAGCAGCAGCAGTGGCAGCGCCAGCAGCAGGGAGGGTAAATCGGCACAGCACACCCCCAAGGGAGAGGATCTCTGGTCTCTAGACGAGCCAGATCTGAGGCAACCGTACTGTTTCCTGGGCATGAGTGGCGTGTATGATATAGCCCACCACCAGAGGCATGAGCAGGCTCGGGGCGTGTTCGCCCTCTCTGCCATGTCGCCTGCTATTGGCGGGCCGGCACGGTTCGTCTCATCCTCGCCGGCTCTGCTGTTTGATGCTCTCGCGTCTGCTGCTGCTGATGCTGCTGCTGCTGCTGCGGAGGCTGTTGCTGCTGGTGCTGTTGGTGGCGCTGCTGGTGGTGCTGTTGGTGATGCTGCTGCTAATGCTAATGCCTCTGCTGCTGCTGCATCGTTCGGGGCGTCGTTTGACTGCCCTAAGAGTCCTCTCCTGACTGCCACTGCTGCTCCTACTGCTACTGCTTCCGCACCTTCCGCCCCTTCTGCCCCTTCCACCTCTGCTGCTGCTAGAAGCAGGGCGCTTGAGCAGTTAGCAGCAGTCAGCGTTGCAGCTGCTGCCTCCCTCAGGCCCTCCCTCTCTGCCGCCCTCAAATCCGCGTCACCCCGCTCAATTGCCACGTCAGCTGGTCCCAACGCCACGTCAGAGGGTCCAAACGCCACGTCAACAGGTGCTCCCCGTCCAGTGAAATTCCCCGCTAACTCTGAGAAATCAATCTCCCACCGCCAACCAGCTGCTGCCAAGTCATCCTCTCTACAGCCCTTGTCAGCGGGAGCAGAATTTGCACCAGGAGCAGCAGGAGCAGCAAGCGTAAGGGATCAAAGTGGTGCAACCATAACAGCAAGCAGGACACTGCTCGCTGCTGCGGATGCTTCCACTGATTCTGGGCGGGGGAAAAGCACAACCTCAGTTGCATATGCAGTGAACAGAGCGACGTCAAAAGAAGCAGCGAAGCAGGCCCTTCGATCCCACCTCCTCAGCTCGTCAGCTTTCAAGCAACGGGCAGATGCCACACCAACTGATGCCACGCCGGCTGCTGCTGCCATGCCGCCTCAAGCGCCATTGTTGCCCGCTTCTTCACCACTCCAACCTGCTCAAGAGTTCACCATCCCTCCTCCCTTCTCCGCCTCCTCCTCTTACACAGCAGCAGCAGCAGCAGAGGCAGCTCCCACAGGCGCACCTTCAAGAACCGCCTCGCCGCCCTCTTCCCTTGACATTCTAAGGCAGGAGCTGGGAGGGGGTGTTGCTGAAGCTGTTGTGGCTGCTCTTGCTTCAGGACAGCTGAGCCTGCTCTCCCCACCCCCCTCCTCCTCCCGCTCTCCTTCCTCCTCCTCTTTCCCCTCCTCGTCTTCATCCTCCCGTCCCTCCTCCACCACCTCCTCCTCTGCTTCTCCGGTTCCCTCTTCTCTGTCCCTCCCCTCCTCCACCCCTCTCCTCCCCATCATTCTCCTCCAATGCAGTACAGCTGATTACGTAGTTCCTCCCGAAACCTCCCTCTCCCTCATCCGCTCTCTTCACCAACTCAACTCCTTCCTTCTCCCCTCGCCTCCCCCTAGCCTGCTCAAGCTTGGGGGAGAGGGGGGCGGTTTGGGGGGAGAAGGAATGGGGGGAAGGGGAACAGGGGAGGGAGCTGGAGGAGCAGGAGGAGGAGGAGTGGGAGTGGGGATTCGAGCAAAGGCTTTGGTTTATGATGATGCTGGTCATCCGGATTTTGCATGCTGGGCTGTGAGAAGCGAGAGGAGAGGGAGACGGGGTGGGGAGGGGAGTGGAGGAGGGGGTAGCGGGAAGGGTGGTGGGGTGAGTGGTGGAGAGGTGGGGGAAGGAGGGAAGGAAGAGGAAGGGGAGTGGAAGGGAGGGATGTTAATGAGAAGCAAGAGCATGAGGAAACTGAGTCAACCGAGTCAAGAAAGGGAGGGGGGAGAGGGTGGATCGTCGGGGATCAAGGATGGGGAGGAAGGGGAGGAGGTGGCGGGGCAGGTGTTATCCAGTGGAGGTGCTTCTGATGAGATGGCTTGCGTGAGAGATAGCCTTGATATTGTCACGGGGCGAGTGTCGTTGGAAGACATGGCGTGGCAGTAGGATCATGATTCATGATGATACTTCAATTCAGAGCACTCTGTGCTGATTTATCATACACTAGTAGGGTACAAGGCTTGGTGCTGCTTGCATACCGCTAAAAAAAAATACATGGCCTAGTTCAACTCAGCACTCAAAATCTGTAGACTTTTGCATGGGTTGATGGTAACGTGTTGAACAACGTTTTCTTTGTCACAATCATGACTCGTTAGGGCTGGATTTTTTATCATGGTACAGCGCTTCCTCATAGCGCGTGACTGGGTTACAGGGTTTCGCGATCGTCGTCGCAAAACAAGGTTGCGTCCGAGGGGCTCGCAGACTGGTCCGAGGGGGTTGCGTGTGAGTGGTCCGACGGGCTCGCGGGGTGGTCCGAGGAGCTCCGCGGTGGGCCGAGGAGCTCCGGGGTGGTTCGAGGGTGAGTGGCGCTGGCGCGGCAGGGCCCGGCGCGGGGAGCCCACCCCAGGTGTGAGCGACTAACCGCCGCCCCTTTCATGTGAGGAGTCAGTGGCGGGGAGATAAAAACTCACGCGCAGGGCAATGCGGCGGGACGGGAAGTGAGCCTGGGCCGTGGACCTGGATGGACTGGCGCAATCGCAATCCCATCCGACCAAGGGGAGAGCGTTTTGCAAGCAAGCTCGACTTCTGTTGACACGCAATTTCGCTCGATCCCTAGCTTCCTTTCTGCTGCCCACATCCTGATGAGAGTTCTTCTCTCCATCCGTAGTATGGAGGTGCTTGGCAAAGGTGTATTTATGGACGATTCCTCCTGGAGGTTGTACCAGCAAGCATCATGGCGGACATTAATAAGTTGAAGCTGAAGAGCTCAGACGATATAGTTTTCGAAGTAGACCAAGAGGTAGCCCTTCAAAGCGTCACAGTGAAGAATATGATTGCGAATGCTGATGTGTCTTCTGCCAGCGAGCCCATTTCTTTGCCAAACGTCTCTGGGTGTATCCTGGTCAAGGTGATTCTTTACTGCAAATATCACGTGGATGCGAAGAAGCCTGGCACGGCGGAGAAGCCTGCAGTGACGGACGACGAGGTGAAGGCGTGGGATGAAGAGTTCGTGAAAGTCGATACAAAAACTCTCTTTGGCCTGGTATTGGTGCGTATCCACCCTGTATAATTCATGCATCACTATCGTCCGGTCTTAACTTCAGCCCTTTTCGCTGGCATACGGTATTTATGTTCTGTTTGCGTACTCACAGCATAATCTTCCTTGTGATCCACAATATATTACCAGGCTGCGAAATATCTGGACATCAAAGGTCTGCTGAATCTTACATGCGAGACTGTTGCTGGCATGATCCGAGGAAAGACGCCGGAGGAGATCCGCAGGATGTTCAACATAGATAACCCGTTCACTCCAGAAGAAGAGGAAGAATTGCGACGCGTGCAGGAGGCAAACGAGTGGTCGTTTGAGAATGAACAAGGTGCAGACAAGGTGCAGTTTAAGAATGCTCTTTGGGGCTTAAGTATGTCTTCTCCATAATAAACTATACATGCAATATTTACCTAACTATTTCTGTTCACTATGAAGCACTTCCTGCTCGACACACAAGGTACAGTAGAAGCCACTGGAGCATGAAACCCATTCATGCCATTGATGCAGCAACATCCCTGAGAAGGCCTGCTACCGTGTATCAACCACTATTACCATTAGTGTTGGATCGTCAACCCATACATGTTATTGATGTCATGGTCCTTCATGACCCAATATGGCTCACTGGACAGCACATGAGTGCAATCCCTGACACCCAGAAACTGCAAAACCTCAAGCTTAGGTAAGTCTTTTGGGAGACTCTCCAAGTGGCCACAACCCGAAAGATTGAGTGTCTTGAGCCGGGTCAGCTGCACAAAGTTTCCTGGAAGCAAGCGGATGGCAGTGTTTTTAATATTCAGCTTGTTCAGGCAGGCAAGCTGGGTGAGCGAAGCAGGGAGATTTCCAAGGGCAGAGCAGTCTGACAGATCGAGCTCCCGTAGCTTGGATAACGCACCGATGCTGGCAGGAATGGAAGCGAGCTTTGGAGCATGAAACTCCAAGCAGGTCAGATGCTGAAGCTGGGAGATCGTATCTGGGAGCACCATCAACCCTGGAGCATTCTCTATCTGCAAACGCCGGAGCTGCTTCAGATCCGAGCCGATGCTTCCTGGAAGCTTCTCGATGTTACCAGCCCTGGAGATGACCAGAATTCGCAGGTGAGGGAGGGAGGCCAAGGGGAATGCGAGCTCTTCTGCATTTTCTGCCAACACCAACTCCAGATGCTCTAACCGAGGCAATGAATTGGGTACAGGCACATCAGCTTCCCCACACTCTACATTGGCCATATTCAGTGTCAGCTTCTTGAGGTTTGGCAGCACAGGGAGTGTTGACAGACGCATGGTCTGGTTGTAGCTTCCCAAGCTAAGGGACTCAAGAGCGGACGGCAGGGAGATTGCAGGTCCGTTCAGCCATACATCAGGGTGGCATCCCATAATCTCTAGCCGTTTGAGCTTTAGGTTACCGAGATTGCTGGGAAGTGACACGAGCTGGCTGCACATCCCAATTGTGAGGGTATCCAGATTAGTCAGCCGTGTCACGGAATCTGGAATCTCCCTGAGATTGAAAAAGCACTGGATGTGCAGCTGCCGCAGCTGATTCAGCTTCCCAATGCCGTCAGGAAGCTTCTCATCCGAAATAAAATCCAGGTCAAGCCGAGTCAACGAAGTCAACTGAGTGAGTGAACCCGGGAGTTGCAGCTGGTTGAAGACCTCTCCCTGATAAATCCTCCGGATGGCATCCATTCCCCCCAGTCCTACGGGAAGCTTCAATTCCATCTGCTTCACCATGCAGAGCGTCCTGAGAGCTCCTAGGCGGCCGAAATTCACAGGAAGCTCGCGGATTTCGCGGCAACCAACCATGAGCAGGGTCTTCAGGGACTTGAGATTGGCAAAGGATTCAGGGAGTTCCGTGAGAGGGAGCATGTACATGGTAACTTTTTCGAGGGATCCAAGTCGTCCGATAGAGTCAGGAAGGTTCGTCAAGGCCAGCATGCGCAACGACAATGTTTTCAGGGCAGGCAAGCGACCGAAGTTGTCGGGCAGGCTGGAAAACCGGAAGCATGAGGAGATTGTCAGGCTCTCCAACTGGGTCAGGGTCGTGAAATCTTCGGGCAGCTGGGTGAGTCCAGAGCACCAGCGAAGCGTCAGCTCGCGGAGACACGGCAAAATCTCTCCGAGTTCGTCAGGAAGCCGGTCCAAGATGCAATTCGCAATCACCAGCCGTTCCAGCCTGAAGCACGGCAAATCCGAGGGGAAAAAACGGCTGAAATAGAAACCATCGCCCTCGAGTTGCAGTGACTCCAGGAACGGCAGATGTGAAGCGGAGAACATGGCAGTTGGTTCGTTAACCCAGGGATCGTATTTGATCGCAACGTCGGTAAGCCTCGGCAACCGAACGAGGTTCACAAGGTGCCGGTACACCAGGTCCATGGAGGTTATGCGGATAGACTCGAGAGACGAAAGCTGCGAGAAACCGGGAGCGGCCAGCGCTGACGCGTCCGGGAGGACGAGAATGCGAAGCCGCGAAAGCTGGAAGAACGAAGCCGGGAATACGACGTTCGGGTGAAGGCAGTCGAGCGAGAGCACCTCCAGTTGCTTGCATTGCTGAAAGAGCCGATCCAAGCCAGCTTCGGTAACCGGGTGTATGTGCTTCCTGTCGTCATCGTTTTCTTGATCCTGGCCAGTGATTCTGCTTCCCACGTGAATAACCGCCAGCTTAGGGCATGACGAGGCGAGGTGTGAGAAGAAGTCGTCGTCAAGGGTTTCCACGCTGCCGTCGCACAAATGCAGGTGGGTCAGGTTCGGAAAGCATGAGACAGCGTTGGTGAGGTCTTGGCGGGAAATAGCGAGATTTTCCCTGACGAGAAGTGTCGAGACGTAATGCTGGGAGAGACGGCGCCAGCGACGGCAGACGGAAGCGACGAGGAGACTAAGAGCAGCGTCGGTGAAGGCAGGAGGAGTTGGTACGAGAGAGTTTTGTTCGCTACTGCTCGAGTCCTCTGGTGGAGCTTCAGTCCAGAAGTATTTCTGTTTCGGATACAGAGAGTAGCATGCAGCATTGTCTTGTGCAGTATCGTCGCATGTAGCATCGTCGCATGTCGCATCGTCGCATGCTGCATCGATATCGAAGATATTAGGGAGTGGCATTTTGCAGGTATGACATAAAATCTTGATTAGCAGGTCGTCAGTTAGTCCGTTGATATATGAGCGAGACTCCATGTGTAAACTCGAACTCCAACAACAGAAGGTTGAGAATGATGGGAAAACGGGGACTAGCCTTGTGAAGCAATCAAAGAGAATGGCTACCAGATGCCTTGCAATGAAAAGCTACTCTGCTCGTGAACCTTCCAGTGACGGATATGTCTAATATTCACAGAGTTTTCACAATTCACAACTCACGGGTTATGAGGGCTGATGAGGATCCCTAGTGAACGGGGAAGTGGTGGGGGATAGCTTGGTTCGTGCCGGAAGTGATGTTATCCGTCAGTCGGCTACCAGAAAACGTCGAAGGCAACTTGCCGGTCTGGCTGGTGGTGGTGGAATCGCGTCACGTCACGTCACAACTCACGATTCGTTGTTGTCCAGCTTTCGAGGGAAAACATGGCGAGCGGAGCCAATCCAGAAGGGGTTGGACGACGCTCTCTAGGGAAACTCGTGAGCGCGTCGTTTTGTGGAGCTGAGGAAACGCGCTGAGGAAATGACGGAACGCCCTGTTTTCAAGTTTCCTATTCCTTTGGGCAGTGGCTTTGACACCGCCTTGCTTCTCCGCTCGCGTCCGAATCCTTGGGGCAGCTGATTTCGACATTTTCAATTTCCTGCGACCACGGAAATTCTGAAGTCTACCTGGTTTTACTTTAGTGGCCAGTGGAAAAAATAAACTCCTCTCGGATGGCTGGCCACTTGGGAGGCAGCAACCCTAAACACCTTGCCTCATGGTGTTTAGGGTTGATGCCTCCCACATGGCATGCCTTCCCCGAGGGGTATATATTTTTTGTCCCGAGATTCCCGTAATTGACGCGACAATTCAATTCATGATATCCCAATAAATAAAACACATTATTAGTCTCTGGACTCGAAAAGGGTAAATAGCGTAAATAACTGACCGAAGGTATCGGACGCGAGCGCGAAGCAAGGCGGTGTCAAAACCACTGCCGAAAGGAATCGGAAACCCGAAACCAGGGCGGTCCGTCATTCACTCCTTGCATTCGCTTGTCTCACGTCGCGCCCGTCCCAATGGCCTGCATCCACCTCAGCGTGGTAAAGTTGTAGAAATCATGAGCTTGATATAGTGTTGGCAAAAGACTAAACAAATAGAACTGTTATTTTGCAGGACAATTGCAGCAACAATGTAGCGGACTTATAACGGGTTAGACTGCAGTTTCCAAAAATACCCTGCGTGTTGCGCTGCAACATCGCTCCTTCCTCGTACTAAAGTTCCACCAGCAGCAAAACCGACAGCGCGATTGCCGCCAACGCCGCTCGCCCGCAAATTTCTTGCAATTTTCTAGTCCTTCGCGCAATCGTTGCTACCGGTGACACTGTAGAGCTCTGCTGGAATGCCCGCGCCGCGCGGCGCTTGATCCCACCGATATGGCGCCCTTCGCGATTCCTGTCGCGGCGACAGGTTGTCGCTTTATAGGCCGCGTCGAGCTTCCTCAGGCTCACCCGTATGACTCCCACTCATGCCCCTCGCATCCCCTCGTCCCGTCGCCCCCTCGTCGCGTCTCATCCGTGTACTCGCGATCAGGGTGTCAATTGCGCCGCACCCCGCTCCACCGCAATGAACCACGTCGGACTCAACCGCTCTTTATCGAACGGTACCGCATTCAGCCGCATTGCACGTCGCAGTTTCAAAGCTCCAGCCCGGACCCTGACTCGAATTCCTCCCTGACGTCATCAGCACCACACTCAACCGCACAGCACCCCTCCCCATTGTGTGCAGCACCGCACTCAACCGCACAAACTGCACCCTCTACATTTCCTCCTCCTTCACTCCTACCCATGGATTATCCTTTCCCCCATTCTCTCCCTGAACCGCTTGCTGCTTGGAGGGAGAAGAGAAGAAGACAGCAAGACGCTGTAAGCACAGCACCTCACTCAACCGCACAATCTGACACACAATCCACGTCAGCAACCGACACATCCACGTCAGCAGCCCAATCAGACATCAATATCGGAGGCTCCAAACTCTCAACCCCCTCAGCCCCCTCGCTTCTTGCTGATATGCGGAGTGAAATGAAGACCGTTGCTCAGCTGTACGGCCGTCAGGGGGGGAATCGAGGGGGAGGGGAAGATTCTGATTCAGACCTTGTTGGTGGTTCAAGAGTGAACGGAGGTGACTATAGCGAGGTTCTTCCTGTACCAGCTTCGCTACAGGAGGCGGAAGATATGCTTCAGCAGCTTATAGAGGTGCGCTGATTTCACGCACAAGAACGATTTCAAATTTTCCTAGTATGCACAGCTGTACTGTGCTGCTCTCTCTTGCAACTGTGCTGCTCATTCCCATGGTGCTGCTTGCCCCTTCCCATTCCTCATTCAGACAAAAGTAGAGAGAGGTTTCCAAAAAGCCTGGAAACAAGGTAGACCCCCGTCGTCTTATCCCCTCCTCCTGCTCCCTTTCGCCAACCCCCGCCACCCTCCCAGGAAACCCTTTCGCTCGCCTCTCCCTTTGGGGTTAACCTGGTGGCGTTCTCAGGGGGAGTCGACTCTCGAACCTCACTTGTGACCCATGCTCCCCCACATCTTGTCTTCCCATCCCTTCCCTCCTTCCCTTTACCTCCCAGGAAACCCGTTTGCTCGTCGTTCCCTCTGGGGTCAACCTGGTGGTGTTTTCAGGGGGAGCGGATTCCTCACTCTCACCCATCCCCTTCTTTGCACTTATCCTTTTCCTCGCACCCCCCATCCCCCCAGGAAACCCGTTCCCTCGCCTCTCCTTCTGTGGTCAACCTTGCTGCTACACAGAGCACACTCGGACCTCCCGTCACCCTCTTGCTCACTTTTCCATCAACACCCATCTTCCCAGGAGGAATCCCGCTCTTTGGCCTCTCCCTCCGGGATTAACCTGGTGGCATTCTCAGGGGGGGTGGATTCCTCCCTTGCTGCCTTGCTGCTTTCTTCAACCTTTAGACACCTTTCCTGTGCCTCCTCTCTCCTTCTCTTCCTCCGTCCTCCACCCGCCAACCCCCACCTTCCCAGGAGACTCGCTCCTCACCTCTCCCTCCGGGGTCAACCTGGTGGCGTTCTCAGGGGGAGTCGACTCCTCCCTTGCTGCCCACCTGCTGCACAGAGCATTCTCGGACTCACTCTCTTGCTCACCTTGCCTTCAACCCCCACCCTCCCAGGAGACTCGCTCCCTCTCCTCTCCCTCCGGGGTCAACCTGGTGGCATTCTCAGGGGGAGTGGACTCCTCCCTTGCTGCCTTGCTGCTGCATCGAGCACTCTCAGACCCGCCGCCTCCTCACTCACACTCACAGTCACACTCCCACTCACACTCACAACCACACTCACACTCACGCTCGCAATCCCCTTCACACACGGACTCACACTCTCAATCGCCTCCCACCGTAGCAGCTGTGATCGCCTTAAGCCCCTCCCTCTCCTCCTCTCAACTAACCACAGCTCGCCACGTGGCAGCAGCCATAGGCATCCCCCTGTGGGAGGTGAGTGGTACTCTTCTGTTGTTCTGTTGATTGGCTGATAAAAGAGGCGATGTAGTTGTACATCGCCTCTTTTCAGTGGCTTTTTCCACGTGGCAGCATGTCACCCGTATTTCCCTGTCAGTGGGGGTGTCCTAGTCGTTCTGTTGGTAGGTTGATGGGTGCAATTTCAACTGTGCGCCTCCCACGCAGACAATCGTGGCTCTCCATTTTAGCTCTTTCTTGAGCCAGCTAACTAAAAGTCATCTTGGCTTGGGTAAAGCAATGTCTTTCGGCTCTGTCCGGCTAAACGTTTTTGTATGCGCCTCAAAATTAGGCTCTGACTGGCTTTTTGCCCCTTGTGTTTTCTGTTTTCTTCAGGTGGAAACAACAGAGGGTCAGGTGCAAGAGTACGTGGCCAATGAGGGGGCGAGCTGCTATGCCTGCAAGGCCACTCTCTACACCACTCTATACACTGTCGCGGAGCAGTCTTTAGCGAGGATGGGAATGGAGAACAGCAACCGTAATGAAGGTAAGGAATGGAAGTTCTCAGGTAGCCTCTCAGACCCCTTCCGCTTGGGGCCTGCTTGCTGCTCTGCATTGCTGACGGCCTCTCATCTAAACGTGCCCTCTCAATTCCTCTCCACCCCTCTCAATCCATTTATACCTCCTCTGAACCCCTCGGTTCCTCTGCTTACCCCAGTCACTCTATTCAACGGCACGCTGATGACCTACCAGACCCCTCCCGCTTGGGTCTCCTAGCTGCTCTGCTCTGCTGGTGGCCTCACGTTCTCAACCTATCTGCACCTATTTTAACCCCTTCCTTCCCAGTCACGATATTCAACGGCACCCATGCTGACGACCTATCAGACCCCTCTCGCTTGGGTCTGCTGGCTGCTCTGCACTGCTGCTTGCCCCCCTTTTCAACGTGCCCTCTCAACCCCTCTCTACCCCCTCTGTGTCCCCCCTGAACCCGTTCGTACCTCCTCTTACCCCAGTAACTCTATTCAACGGCACCAATGCAGACGACCTATCAGACCCCTCCCGCTTGGGCCTGCTGGCTGCTCTGCACTGCCGGGTCGTGTCACCCCTCGCCCGTCTACCTAAAGCCGCTGTGCGGGTGAGTGGGGTTCGGTGGTGCATCCATCCATCCACACATCATTCATCCGCACGTCACTTGGGCCACCTGGCTACTCTTCTCTTCTGGCTATTCTTGCGTTTTTGGTTCTCTGAGTTTGGTGGTTGTGAGATTTTCTTGAATTTTTTCTGGGAATCAGTTTTACAGTCTTGATCCTATTGCTTAAGTGATTTCTACAGGTTTGCAGCTACTCCACGATGAACCTTGATCCGCACGTCACTTGGGCCACCTGGCTACTCTTCTCTTCTGGGCCGTGTCCCCCCTTTCTCCGCCTGCCCAAAGCTTCTGTGTGAGTGAGTTCTCAGCACTGCCTGGAGGAAAGAGTGCTGAGCAGTAGCTCCCACTCTTTCCTCCACGCAGTAGCTAGAGCAGCCGGCCTTCCCAAACTGGAGCTTGGCTGCATTGCCCTGCCTGGAACTCACCCCTTCATTCCCGTCCCTTCTCTCCTTCTCTCTCCCACTCTCGTCTTTCAGGCAGTGGCCAGGGCAGCGGGCTTACGCAACTGGGACTTGGCAGTGTCGCCCTGCCTGCGCAGCAAATTAGCGTCAATCCTTCCCCTCCCTTCCCTCTCCTGCCGCCCCTTCTCTCCACCTCTCTCCACCTCTCTCCACCTCTCACCACCTCTCGTTTTCCAGGCAGTGGCAAGAGCAGCCGGCCTGCCCAACTGGGACTTGGCTGCCTCGCCCTGCCTGCGCAGCAGATTACCTTTTGTAGGCTCACTGCTTCCCCTCCCTTCTTGCTGTGCTGCCCCTTCTCTCCACCTCTCTCCGCCTCTCGTTTTTCAGGCAGTAGCGCGAGCAGCGGGTTTACCCAAGGGACCTGGCAGCATCGCCCTGCCTGCGCAGCAGATTAGCGTTTGGAGCCTCAATCCTTCCCCTCCCTTCTCTCTCCTGCCACCCCTACTCCACCTCTCTCCACCTCTCCCCACCCCTGGTTTTTCAGGCAGTAGCCAGAGCAGCTGGTTTACCCAACTGGGACTTGGCTGCCTCGCCCTGCCTTCGCAGCAGACTGGCGTTTGGAGTGGAGGCGACAGCAAGCACACTGATACTGGTGGAGAGGGCAGAGGAGATGGTGAGTTGAAGTGGAGGGGGTAAGAGATGGGGAGGGGAGGGGCTGAAGAAGATCAGAGAAGACTATCGTTTGGAGTTGAAGTGACAGCAAGTACGCTGATGCTGGTGGAGAGGGCAGAGGAGATGGTGAGTGCAGAGGGGGGAGCAGGTCAGAGCAGATTAGCATAGCAGGTGAAACCGGATTGGCGTTTGGAGTTGAAGCCACAGAAAGCACGCTGATGCTGGTGGAGAGGGCAGAGGAGATGGTGAGTGGATGGGGGGGGGGGAGGGTGATGGGGAGGGAGAGAGCAGGTGTTAAAAATTAAGAGACGATAAGGAGCTGGTAAGAGAAGATTAGCGTTTGGGGTGGAGACGACAGCAAGCACACTGATGCTGGTGGAGCGAGCAGAGGAGATGGTGAGTGGGGGGGGGGGGGCGGGGAGGGGGAGGAGGGGAGATGGGGAGGGGAGCGGGTAAATCTGTGGGTCAGAGGGGTTGGTCAGATCAAAGTGTTGGTTGGAAGAGAGGAGAAGCAAATGAAGGAAGATTGGTGTTTGGGGTGGAGGCGACAGCAAGCATGCTGATGCTGGTGAAGGGGGCGGAGGAGATGGTGAGTGGCAAAGGGGGGAGGCTGTGTGGAGAATAAAGGTAAGGGTTGGACCGAGGAGAGGGGAAGCTGGTGAAAGCAGATTGGAGCTTGGCGTTGAGGCCATAGCAAGCACGCTGATGCTGGTGGAGCGAGCAGAGGAGATGGTGAGTGGAGGGGAATGTTTGTGTAGAGGAATAAATGGTGAGAGAGGTCAGGTAGGATCTGCTAAATATATGCGAATGAGACAGTTTTAATTATTGTCAATCTTGCTCGTGATTTATGACATGTAAGATACTGTGCAGCTGGAGTATCATGGTGTTACTTTTGAAAATGAGAATTCTCAAAAGTAGCACCCACATAGCTGCCCAGCGTGCTTGTCTTGAGGATCATCATAAGGATGATCTCAATCACTGTTTTTCAACTCCTCTTGTCAAATTTCCACATGCTTCCCCATTCTCTCCATCCCTCCCAGGTTCGCTCCTTGCTTCCTCTCACCCCAAGAGACAGCATGCGAGTGCGTCTGCTGTATCCCATTCTTGCTCCCTTCCTCTCCCAATCTTACAGATCCTCCATTCCCCTCCTCTCTCTCGCCTCACCCCTCTCCCCCCCTCAGGTCCGCTCCTTGCTTCCCCTCACCCCAAGGGACAACATGAGAGTGCGTCTGTTGCATCCCACCTCATCCACCACTGCCGCCACAAGGATCTCAGCTGCTGCCTCGCCACTCCAAACACCACTTAAACCACTTCAACCACTTCAAAGCCAGCCAAAAGGTGCAAACTCAACCCTCCCGGGTGCTCTCTATGCTCTACTAGAGGTGGAGGCAAATTTCTTGCAGCAGGCAGAGGCACAGCAGGCAGGCATCGAGGCGGGTATGGCAGCCCTTGGCCTAAACTACATGGGTTGCAGGGCCTTCAAGAGCGGCAGCCTAGTGTTTCCGCTTTAGCTTCTATGTGCTGTGGTCCGCAGTGCTTGCAGCAAGCAGAGGCACAGCAGGCAGGCATCGAGGCGGGTATGGCAGCCCTTGGCCTAAACTACACGAGTTGCAGGACCTTCAAGAGCGGCAGCCTGGTGATGCCTTTCTAGGTGCAAGTTGCCAATAGGTGCAAGCCCAGCCTCCCCAGGGTGCCCTCGGTGCTCTTCAGCAGGCGGGAGCAGAACAGCAGGCAGGTATCGAGGCGGGTATGGAGGCCCTTGGTCTTCAGTATCAGGGTTGCAGGGCCTAGAGGCGGCCTGGTGATGTCTCTGTAGCTTTCGAGATCTGCGACTCTCAGTGAAGCAGGTCCGTGGGTACCGTACGTAGAAAACAAGGTTTCTCTGTTTTAGAAACTACTTGCAAAATAGGCATTGTCCAGAAGAGTGCCGTACGAAAGACTTCCGTCCTGTTACACAAATAGTAGTGATAGAGGAATAATTTGAAGATCTCAAGCAGGTTTCAAGGTGATACTCCTGTATGGTGGTGCCGGGTTAGATTAATGACAGGGAGTTGAGAATAGAATGATATTGACGAAAATTGGAAGGTGCTATGTAAGTGGTCTGTAGAACAATGTATCGGATTGTAAGGACGCCCTCAAACGACCGCCCCGTTTTCGGGTTTCCGATTCCTTTGGGCAGTGGTTTTGACACCGCCTCGCTTTTCCGCTCGCGTCCGATTCCTTGGGGCAGTTTTTTGTGACATTAACAGTTTCTTGTGACGAGGAAAGTTTGAAGTTTACCTGGTTTTAGTTTAGTGGCCTGTGGTAAAAAATAATCCCCTCTCGGATGCATGGCCATTAGGGAGGCATCAACCCTAAACACCTTACTTCATGGTGTTTAGGGTTGATGCCTCCCAAATGGCATTCCCTCCATGAGGGGTATATATTTTTTGCCCCGAGCTTCTCGTAATGGACGAGACAAATGATTTGAGATATCCCAATATACACATGATGCTCACCCCCTGCACGCGAAATTGCCTTGCGCCGGATGGAAACCTTGCACCGTGGGTTTTTTGCCGTGAGGTTGCACCCACGTTACAAGCACGTCGACCAATACTAACCACAGAAACTGAAGTCTGACTGAAGAGACTGCAGTGAAACAGTCAACAGTGAGTTACAAAAGTTTTTTACAAGCCCTTTTTGCCCGAAGCGAATTGACGAAACCTCCGCGAAATGCAAAAATCGTTTATAAGCCCAGAGGGTAAGGCAAGGTCGGGGGGCTCAACCGGGCATCGTGTGTATAAACAGAATTTTAGTCTCTGGACTCCAAAAGGGGAAATTGCGTAAATATCTGACCGAAGGTATCGGACGCGAGCTCGAAGCGAGGCGGTGTCAAAACCACTGCCGAAAGGAATCGGAATCCCGAAACCAAGGCGGTCTGTCATTCCCTCGAAAGTGAACGACCACATTTCTTGAAGTAAACGCCAGCTGGCAAATTTCTGGCAACCCAAAACATTTCGGCGGTAGCATCCAGAGAGGAAAAAATGGAAGAGCAAGGAAGCATGTCGGAATACATTGCAGAAGTTCTTATATTGAACAGCATATGCATATTAACCAGGGCACTAATACTCCCAACATCCAGGCCTTCCTCTATAAATTAGTTTTTTGGAGGCGCGAATCGATCGGTTTGCTTGTCAGGCCGTCAGGTTCCTAACGTGTCATGTGAGGTGTGATCGCAGACTTCAACTTGTATTACCGCAATATTACTGGATGCGAACAAAACTGCACCGACATCCCTGAAAGCTGTTTGTTCCGAGGTGTGATTTTGCGCGCCTCCGAGGGGTCACTTGATCGGATCCGATTCGGAAGTCCCTCCCAAAATACAGTTTGCGACGGAATATACAGATGTTCCTGGTTAGAGGCTCTCGTTGAGAGAGTCCCTTTTCCCCCCTGAGTAGAATTTTCCGATATCGCCTAGGGTTGGCCCGACCCCTATAGTCCCGTTTTTGGCGGGAAATTTTGCAGCTTGACCGAATCATTGCACGAATCAGCTCCGCAGCCAATCAGAGGCTCCAGATCAAACCAGCCCAACATTCAAAGAAAACGATGAAAAGGGATCATCGATTCGATATTTTAACTTTTTGATTGTAATTAATTGTTTCTCTTGACCGCGACTAATTCTCAATCCTGTCGCGCTGTCTCCAGCGCGATCGACGATGACATCTCATTTATCTCGCTTACAGGGTAGAAACGAAGTTTTTGGGTTACTATTCGACCCCCAAACCATAGTTGATTTTGTTTAGTTTTGACCGTTAGTCATGCGACATTGATCAGCGTGGAAAACCGTGCGACTGGAAGTTGAAGCAAGCGCGGTCCAAATCTACGTAAATGCCAAACTCCAGAAACTAGTAGCAAAGCAACCACTCTTCATGCAATTTTCCTGAACGGGACTATAAGTATCGCGTTTTGCCTGGGGTTTGAAGGGTTTGCCACATAGTCCGCGCGCGGCGATGTTGATCCGTCGGACTATAAACGAGAACACTTGTAGTTTATGACCGCCGCACTGATCTGTGCATTGCGCAAGCACGCCGACTTCCCGCCCAGCCACTTTCCTCCCTCCCACCCACCCACCAGACTTTTTGAAACCCGATTTGTCAATATGCGTCGCTTCGCATTCCCTATTCCCTCCGCTCCACTCTTCGCTCCCTATGTTCACATCCATTCGCGGTGTTTCAGCGTTCTCTCGGCCATTCACGTAGGTTCCGCGTTCTCTCAGCCATTCACGTAGGTTCACCGTTCTCTCTCGTTAGCGCATAAAGCTGCGCAGGCATCTCATGCGGCGGCAACAGCCGTCGCGAGGCGCACCGCTGGGCGTGGGGAGGGCGCTGTTGGGAGTGGCGTGGGTGGCGGGATGGGCGGGGCTGTGCGCGTGGGTGGTGTGGTTCGCGCACAAACAGGCCGCGAATCCGCGGGAGGAGGCAATGCGCGGGTGGTGCCACTTGCGCGTGCGCTACCTCTACCAGCGCCTGCTCTCGTCCGTCTCGCGCGTGCAGGTGCGCTGCCTATGCGACGCACGGCGAGTAGGGACGCAAGTAGAGACGCATGTAGACGCATAACGACGCATATCGACATGTATTGACACAGAAAGACCCATATTGACGCATATCGACGCATAGCGACGCATATAGACGCATAGCGACGCATATTGACGGATAACGACGCACATAGACGCATATCGGCGCATGTCGACGCATATTGACGCACATTGACGCATAGCGGCGCATATCGACGCATATTGTCGCATATAGACGCATGCCGGCGCATGGCGACGCGGCACCCATAAGGACGCATGGCGGCGCACCGCGACGGCCCCCATTCGTCTGGCGCCCTGGAAGCTCTCTCCGTCACGGAGCGCGCTCGAGACGACCCGAACACCTTGCGATCTCCAAAATTATAAGTCGCAGAATAGCACCGCCGCTGCTCGCTCGAGACGCTCCCGGAGCGCAACATTTGAGGGGGCCCCCCTCTCTGCCCCGGCCGGAATCACCCGTCACGCAGCGCTCTCGAGATGCTCCGGAGTTATTTGAGAATCCCGGATCGCCTTGCAATTTCAGAACAGCAGGTTCCGCTGCCCGCCTTGACACCCCTCCTCTCCGCTGCTCTTCCCTGCCCTTCGCTGCCCCTCCCCTGCCCTTCCCTGCCCTTCCCTGCCCTTCGCTGCCCCTCCCCTGCCCTCCCCTGCCCTCCGCGCCCTCCCCTGCCCTCTCCTCGGCCCTCCCCTGCCCTCCGCTGCCCTCCCCTGTCCTTTCCGTCCCCCCCTTGACCTCCCCTGCCCTCCCCTGCCCTCCCCTGCCCTCCCCTGCCCCCCCCTGCCCTCCGCTGACCTTCCCTGCCATCCCCTGCCATCCCCTGCCATCTCCTGCCATCCCCTGCCATCCCCTGCCATCCCCTGCCCTCCCCTGCCCTCCCCTGCCCTCCCCTGCCCTCCCCTGCCCTCCGCGGCCTCCCCTGCCCTCCGCGGCCTCCCCTGCCCTCTGCGACCTCCCCAGCCCTCCGCGCCCTCCCCTTCTCTCCGCGCCCTCCCCTGCCCTCCGCTTCTGCTGCCCACGCGCTGATGGCGGCCCCGGGCCGGACAACAGAGGGGGCAGAGCAGAGGCCCACTCCCCGGCCAGGACGGCAGAGAGCAGGGAAGGGGGAGTGAGCGCGATTTCCCTTCCTCCCATACCCTTCTCTCCCGTGCCCGTCCCACCCGCGCCCTTCCGACCCGCGCCCGTCCCACCTGCGTCAAATAAAAGGCCGTGTGTGTCTGTGTGTTTATGTGTGTGTGTGTGTGCGCGCGCGCGCATGCAGGAGATGTCGGCGTTTCTGCACGTGTTCAACGGGTACGGCCCGCGCAGCACCACAAGCCTCACCTACCGGGGCGTGGCGTGGCGGGGTGTGCGCGTGTGTTTGTGTGTGAGTCCTCTCATAAGTCCCTCCATGCGTGCTGTGTGCATGCGTGCGTGCGTGTGAGCAGGAGATGGCGGCGCTGCTGCGCGTGTTCAACGGGTACGGCCCGCGCAGCAGCACCAACCTGACCTACTGGGGCGTGGCGGGGTGTGCCAACAACGACAGCCTGTTTCGCTACAATCTCGCGGCCATGGGCATGGCGGCGGACCTCACTCAAGGGACACTCGTCATGCTCGTGGAGGATAGCGACAGGTGTGTGTGTGCGTGTGTGTGTGTGTGTGTGTGTGTGTGTGTATGTGTGTGTGTGTGTGTGTGTGTGCATGTGTGTGTGTGTGTGTGTGTTGGGGGGAGGGGAGGGGGGGGGAGAGGGGGAGCGGGGGGGGGAGCGGACCTCACCCAGGGGACACTCGTCATGTTCGTGGAGGATAGCGACAGGTGGGCGCGGGTCTGTGGGCGCGTGTGTGCGTGTGAGTAGGCATGAGCGAAGTCTTGACTGAGATTGAATAGGTGCTTTCTTATTTGCCCAAAATTGTTCGGCCCAATTTTCCAGTCGAACGAATCGGTCTGGATCCACAAAACTTGCTGGCCCGCGTCGAATTGAACGTGTTCGACTCGACAAAGTGATCACGTCGCACGCTTAGGTGACACGATACCTTTGCGTCTCCATAATCAGTTTCTCAACTCCATTTTTCCTGACACACGCGTGTCCCCACCCTATTCCGCCCTGGCTCCTAGGTTCGCAAGACCCCACGGTTCCTTATCGAGTGTGATTATAACGAGTACTGACTTCGAACTGAGCTCGAACGGGTTCGACTTGAACAGGCTGTTGAAGAATCAAACATTCGAAAACTGAAAATTGGTTCGACAGTTTCGAGTGTTCGAAACCGTTGGACTCGAACACGTTTGCGTTTGCCTTTGCCTACATTGTCAATCTACTCGGCAGTCTCTTGAGTCGACTGAAAGCACTTCTTCCTCCCTCCCGCCTGTCCATGCACCCACCCACCCGCACAGGGCGACAGTGGAGAACATCACAGGCACGCCCATCTTGTCGCTGCTCGGGCTGCCGTCCCCCCGCAAGCCCCACTACATCGTCAATCTACTTGGGAGTTTACACCCCGAGGCTGGACCCATGGTGCCGTTTACCGATTTCTCCTCCAACGTGCCTCCATCGTACCTCTCCTCCCTACTCCAAGGCAACGCCGTCTCCTTTCCGCCTATTCATTTCAACAGCCTGTTGGGTGTGGGCACTGGTAAGTTGGGTGGGTGGCTGTTAAACGGCAAGTGGGTGTGGGCATAGGAGAGGGAATGGGCACAAGAGGGTGAATGGACACAGGGGAGTGAACACATGAGGCTGGACCCATGGTGCCGTTTACCGATTTCTCCTCCAATGTGCCTCCATCGTACCTCTCCTCCCTACTCCAAGGCAACGCCGTCTCCTTTCCGCCTATATTTTTCAACAACCTGCTGGGTGTGGGCACTGGTGAGTTAAGTCGGGTGGGTGTTAAAAGGCAGGTGGGCTTGGGCATGGAAGAGTGAATGGGCACAAGAGAGTGAATGGGCACAGGAGAGTGAATGGGCACAAGAGAGTGAATGGGCACAGGAGAGTGAATGGGCACAGGAGAGTGAATGGGCACAAGAGAGTGAATGGGCACTGACACTTGGTGGGCACTTGCGAGTGGTGGCAAATGAGATTGTGCTCTCATTTGAATTGCTGCTGCACAATGGTTCAGTTTAAGGTGTGTTGATTCACCTGAGCTCATGAGCACATGGCCCAGCCTAGGCCCGACAATTTGAGCCTGTTTGTTTATTTAAATGAGCTTGAATTAAAGCTTGAGTCGGACCCACAAGCTTTGTTCATCGCGCATGCAAGCTGACCGGGCGCGACAAGCCTTGCCGAGCTCGTCAAAGACCTGCACATTACAGCTTCAGTCACGTGAGTCATAGTTCCGACTCAAAATTGACCACAGAAGCCACATTTGTATTGTCAAGTTCATGTTTAGATTTTTCAAGTTGCCTGGATTGGATAGCAATTGCCCATGTGAACCTTATGGAGACTCTGACGCACATTGTGATTCGAACCCGAGACCTTTGTGGCTCTGATACCACTGTTGGCCCAGCTTGATACCGACTGGGTTAAAAAGGCATGGTTTTATGGTGGGTAGCACACCCATTACTCCCAGGCCGCACCTGTAGCCCTCTCACACTCAACTGGGGACGATCCTAGTGCCCCACCAACAGTTGAGGAGCCATGTGGAACATGATAAGAGTCAAGAAACTTGATTGGAGTCACAACTAGCTTGAGATGAATACTCGCATAATGGATCGACCTAAAGTGAATTTTGACTCAACCTGACTCGAGATAGGGTCCAACTAGTTAGGGCCTAGCTTGTCGATATTCCGCAAGCCGCTTTAGCTAGAACAGGCGTGAGCAAGAGGCGAACCTACTAGTCCTTGCCTTGACTCGAGACAGGATAGAGACCAAAGACCCGCTTCATCGCGTTAGCCGTCGTGGCTTGCTACTAGCCACCTGGGCTCGTCTTTATGTTTGAGTCACATTTGAAAACTACTACAACCAAACCGCGTCTCGCCTATTTTGGACCGGACATGTCCAGCGTCCTGGATGCTAGCGTTTGGATGTTATATGCTAGGGTAGGTCGGGTCGCTCCCCCTTGGTGGGCTTGACCCGACCAAGTCGACCCGACCCGTGACGAGGTGGACCAGTATCTTGAAGAGCTACCGCAAGAGCAGGTGCTCGTTGGCGGCAGGTGATGCATGACGTTCAGCCTTGCGCCAGATGGCACGCGACTATCTTGACATCCGGGCCACGTGAGCGGCTAGTGAGCGCGAGTTCAGCCGAGGCAGAAACATTGTGAACTGGCAACACAGCACTGGTTGAGCGTTGACCTTGTGTGTTCGCAGCCATGATTATCAAGTTATGGATGGATAATGCGGCACACAGACAGGAGGCTTCCGAGCGCTCAGGCGTCATGCATGTTGGAGGAGTTGTGTTACGAGGGGGAGGATCATGGGCTATAACAAGTGTTAGTACTGTTGGGTTTTAATACGCCTTTGCCCATACGCGTTCGTACTACAAATTTTAGAGAAACCATTGTGGAGAGCACATTAGGGAGACTTGCTTGTATCTTGTTCTTGTTGTTGTTGTTGTTTTTTTTTTTTTTTTTTTTTTTTTTTTAGAAACAAACTCACAGCCTGATTGCCGTTTAATAAAAATAATGCATTCAGGAATTCTTTGCCTTATAAGGGTCGGCGTTAATGACTCGACCATGCATCCATCATGCATGCAGTGATGGTGGAGCCTATCCTGCGCCATCCCGTCCCGGAGAATGCATCACCGGAGCAGCTGAGGGAGAGTGTGAGCCCCACTGCTTGGGCGAACCTCTGCTTTCTTGAGCTCGATCTGCTAGGGGTCCTCGGTCTGCTTCAAAACGGTTCGATCACTTTCCCAACGCTCCCCTCTTCCCCACCACTGCCATCTGCCCTCTTCAGCACGTTTGCACAACCTTTCTCTCTGTTCCAAATCCTTCCAGGCTTCTCTTGTTTCTTCCTATCTGCCCCCAATTCTTACAATTTGCTCTATTCCTTCCAATCCAGTCTGCCCCTTCCAATCAACCCTCATCCGTTCGAATCTGCTGCATTCCTTCTAAGTTGCCCCCTTTTTCTCAAACTGCCCCATTTTTTCCAATCTGCTCCAGTTCCTTCCATTCCTCCCTCTTTTCTTCCAATCTCCCCTCATCCTTCCAATCTGCCTTAATATTTTCTACTCTGTCCCATTTCTTTCCGTCTGCTCTCTTAACTTGTTGCCGTGGCTGTGCGTTTGTTGGGGTGCAGGTGTGCCGAAACCCATGCACGTATGCCAAATGCCATGCACGGGCTCCCGATTCCTTACATGCCATGCATGCACATGGCCCCAAACTCATACTTGTACTGAAATCCTCGCATTCATGTGCTGCCCCCAATGCCTTGCACGCATGTGTGGTCTCTTCGCATGCAGGCAGCAGCACCAGCGCCTATTCCATTGCCATGTACGACACCACCGATCCAGGGCAGCCCATTCAAGTTTACGGCCTGGAGCCCCTGCGGGTGGAGAGTGGGACCCTCTACCCCTATGTGCTGCCTGGGCCTGTGGTGCCTCACCCCAAGCACATCGAGCCCTTCCCTGACGACTTGCTCGGTCGCAAATACGAGGCGCATTGCAGGTGAGAAAAGGAATACTTTCTTTCCAAAACGAGGGAAGGGGGTGGGTGCCTTTGCTAGTATGTGTCGGCGTTTCGTTTTCGTTTTGTTTCTATGTTGCTTGCCTGAGCCATGTGGCGTGTACGCATTACTGTCTCTGTCACCTTTGTCTTGTTAGACTGTTGTGCCTCGTGTTAAAGTTGGAATCGCGATATGTATGCGTCAACCTACCCCATATTCACCAACGGTGAAGGAAAATGGAGTGTTGTGGTGTGATGCGCATTTCTGTGCTTTGCGTTTGTGCGTTTTCGGGTGACGAGTCGTCTCGACGGTTCATGAGTCGTGTGCGTTTTCGTGAAATGTTAGTGTGTGAATGTGAGGCTTCGTAAGTATTTGCGCTGTTTCGCGAGTTGTCATGAGTATGCGCGAATTTCGGTGTTTGTGAATTTCCGTGAGGTTCGCGAGTTGTTCATGAATTTATGCTTGTTCATCTAAGTTCGTTTTCTCATGAATCTTTGTGCGTCCTCGTGAAGGGTCAAGAGTGTTCACGAGGGGCCACTGTTTGCCCGTCAGATATTTTTGCGCCAGTTAAGGGAATTGGGCGCGAAAATCTGGACCACGCGTGTGGCTCGCACGCGCGTGGGGGTCCAGATTTCAAGTGTGGGTTCTGAGGACCCACGCGTGTGGCTCGCACTGTTGCGAGTGTGCACAGTAGGCACGATCGCAACACGACAGGGCGAATGGTCGCCTTGCCCTCGCGCAGGACAGTGCACGTCGGGGCGCTGTACAGCACGACCGAAAATGTCGATCGTGCATGATTGCGCCCCTCAGGGGTCCGCGTGGGCTTCGGGGGGTGCCGAGGGATTTCGAGGGGTGCTCGGGATTGACTCGAGTCGAGATTTCAGTTGTAAAACTGAATCTCGAGCCTCGTTCCTTATGATGTGGCACAAGGATTTTTTGCCAGAAAGTCGCGCGCATAACGCGACAATTTTCATCACAGGTACAAAACGGTGAAAACCAGAAACTGAATTCCCACACGAGTCTTCATGAATGCGAATGAATGATAATCCGAATTCGTGAGTGCTCGTGTGAGGCGTCAGCAAAGACATTTGGAGGAAATGCAAGCTGAAGACGATTTGTTTCAAGGAGGCGAATCACGCCAATCTCAGCAGACATTGAACAGCCGTTTTTCAAGGCCAACCTGATAAAGTCTTAGAATGCAGTTAAACAATTACTTATTTTCGTTAGCTTGTGTTTAGTCTTTTTATAAATGTGTGCTTGTGCTTGGTATGCAGGTTTGAGGGCGCCTACCCCAAGTGGGACCTCGTGTACGCCCCCATGCTGCTGGGCCTGCTGGTGCTGCTGATGGCAGTACTGCTCTCCACCATGATTGCTGTGCTGGCATGGAAGAAGAGAAATCTCGAAGAGGCTATGAAGGAGATTCAGCTGTGCACCGCGATTTTGGAGCGAGCGGAGTGGTCCAAGAGTGAGGCGGTGGCGAATGTGTCTCATGAGCTGCGCACCCCGATCATTGGCATGATGGGTGAGTGAGTGAGGGCATGTACTGGTATGTGTGAGGTGGGGCATGCATGTGTGTGTGCGATTTGAGGCGCCTCAAAAGGTGCTGGAGAGAGCGGAGCGGTCCAAGAGCGAGGCGGTGGCGAATGTGTTCCATGAGCTGCGCACCCCGATCATTGGCATGATGGGTGAGTGATTGAGAGCATGGCATGGCATGATGGGTGAGAGAGAGCATGGCATGATGGGTGAGAGAGAGCATGGCATGATGGGTGAGAGAATGGCATGATGGAATAGGGCTCGCATGCATGCATAGCGCCACTAGTCCACCAGGCTCTGATTAAAAAACAGTTTCCTTTCGTCACACATGCACATGCACATGCACATTCGCTGGAATTTCCCTTGAGAGTAGATGCGTACTCCTTTGCCCCCCCATAGGCATGGTCGAGGAATTGCTGGAGTCGCAATTGCAGGAGAGGCAGCATGCTTTTGAGTCGACTCAAAAATCGACTCACTACACGCGGATTATATGTGGAGAGGATTTTTGTTGCATGGCAAATTGGTTGTAACCTTAACAGGTTACTGGTA